TCTTAACGAGAGCCCCAAGAGTTGCTTTTCCAAGTCCCTGCAATGGCCAGAAACAAATGTTTTCATTGGAATGACCTAGTACAGCCAGATATTTTGAAAGTAATTTTATTGTTTTTGTAAAAACTAGATCATGTTCTTTATCAAACGTTTCAAGTAATGATGAAAAATACAAAGAACCAAGTAAATAAAAAAAGCTTATATCAAACACCCTTTCCAACCAATACAGAAAGAAGGAGGGAGGAAGGAGATTATACTAGATGTACTTTTTCAACATAAAAACTATTAATGAGTTTGAAATAAAGGGAAATGAAGCTATAGGACTTGCTTAATTTTGGTAATTTCTTCCTCCAAAGAAGAGAAATTAGTTTCTAAAAGGTTTGAAAACATACTATGAAGTGCATTAAGGGCCTGGAGTCATTATTGTAGTGTTTCGTTTTGTTTTGCATTATATGTTTAAATTTGGATGGTTTTCCTACTTTGTACCCAGCATTTGTTTTAATCTGGTGTGGTAAGACACACATCCAAAAATGATTATCATGAAGGAAGAAGTTTATACTAATAGATCCCCAAAGAAATGAGGTACAGCGCACCATGCAGGGCCATTTGGGAGAAGTAGTAGGATCAGTCAGGAGGCAAAGGAGAAGGGGAATATGGGCCATGCTCAGGGGCTTTCATGAGAAAAAATCAGCGAGACAGAATAGATACCCAGAATACACTCAAATCAGAGAGTTTAAACAATTTTGGCAGGCTCTGGACTAGAAGGGAAGTATCTAGTCCATGGCTCACTATGGTTCACCATTCTCAAATTTACTGAAGTTTTTTTTTGTTATTGTTGTTGTTATTTTACTTATATCTAGTTCAACTGGGTTTCATTATCCAATAGTTTTCCTAGGAGAGATCAGAGGTGTTATGTTCCCTGAATTCTAACATGTTTGAAAATATTCTCTTATTCTTACAGGACAGCTTACATGGTTATAATATTCTTAAAAGACTCTTTCCCTAAGAACTCTGTAGATGTTGCTCTGCTATATTTAATGTCATAGAGAGAGCTGAGGCCAGCTGGTTTCTTGCACCCTTCAGCCCTTACTTTCCTCTGTAGGTGTCTTGATTTTTCTGTGAAGGCAGTTGAAGGAGAATTTCTTTATCTACCTGATTTTTTAAAAATAGTATAATTATTTCAACTATAAGTTCAATTTCCCCTTCAACTGAAAAAAAAGTTTTTCTTCTGTTCTATCTTTGAATATGTTCTTTGTTACATTTGTTTGTTTCACTATTTCAGAGATAACGTAGTCCACAGAGTAGTCAACAGCGTCTCAACTCCAGGTCCATATGTTCTATCTCTGTATACTTTTTTTTTTTTGGTACCAGGGATCAAACTTGGGACCTTCTGCTTGTGAGGCAGGCAGCAGCACCACTGAGTTAAATCCTCGGCACCTATCTCTGTATACTTTAATCTCTCTTTAATTCTTTGCATTCCTTGTGATCATCCAATCACGCCCACTCTCTTTGCTAATTTAATTTAAAGATATATTCCTTCATTTTCCAACATTTTGGCTAGTTCTATATTTTCCAATTTTTTGATTAGCTCTGCTATTATGGTCTTTAATTTATTTCCTTAAATAGAAATCCTCTTCCATTTCTATATGATCTTCTCATCCTGATGATGACTTCTTCTTTTCCTTTGTTTTTTCAAGTTCTAATTTATCTTAGAGTCAAAGCATTTGTGGTAGATATTTTGCACAGAAATGCACTTTTGCATTTTTTGATGTGTTTCTTGCAGCTTTGTTTCCACCCTGACATCTGTCTCCTATGTGTTTCCCTTTTTCCTTCCTTTCTACCTTCCTTTCTTCTTTCCTTCCTCTTTTGGCCGTGGTATTTTTGTATAGTTGCCATGCCATTTGTTTTCATTTTATTTCTTTTTGATCTGTACAATTCTATATGGAATATATAGATATATATAGATATAGATATAGATGGTGTAGGTTAATTTTCATTGGCTCCTTCCTACCTCATCTGAGATCTCTCCCTTTAGCACTTTAGTCAAAGATTGGATCTTTGTGCTTCTCTGCTTTGCTACTGCTTGTGTGGTGGAAAAAGGAGGAAGTTCAGATAGAGCTGTGAGTGGTAGTGTTTATAGGATTAGTTTCTGCCCTTTTCCATAATTGTTCATAGTCCAAAACCTGAGTTTATTATATCAAATTGGAGAAATATTTTTATCCTTGGGTTCTACCAGAGTAGTGGGTTCTGGACTGTTTCACCAACTGAGGGTAGAATTATAGAGATCACCTGCCCAGGTATTTGTTTTCCAGATCTAACCCAAGTCTTCCTAGGAGCCTTTCATTCTTCTGCCAGACAAAAGATGGGAAAGATAGACAAAATCCAAGGAATTTGGCCACTATGCAATTTTTGAGAAGTGGGGAGTGTGGGTGGTGGTAACTTCAAATGGGGCTTTCCATGTGTATCCTGCCACTCCCTCCATCAGAGGAGCCTGTTTTATTTGCTTAATTTTCACTTAATTTCCTTACTGGTAAATCCCTCTGTATTGTTCAAGGTAAGCAACTCTGATAGAATATTGTCAATTGTTCTGCCTTTCTGCTCCCTTCCTCCCCAGTAAGAAAACTAAATGGCAACATGGGCAGTTTTCTTTCTGTTCTTTCCCTATCTTTTGATGTTAGTATGGAGGAATGGAGAACTTTTGTTCTAAAGAAAGTTTCTGAATCTCCTCCACAGGCTGCCTACTCACCCTCCAATCACTTCACTTCCCACTTTGTATATTGCACACTTTGTCAGAATTTTTTCTCTCACATCTTCCTTTCAAAGCTTATTATTTACAGCTGGGAGTGGTGGCACCTGCTTGTAATCCCAGCATTCTTAGAGGCTGAGGCAGGAGTTTTAAAAGTTGAGGCTCAGCCTAGGCAACTTAGCAACTTAGTGAGACCCTGTCTCAGAATGAAAAATTCAAAAAGGGCTGGAGATGTAGCTCAGTGCAAAGGCCCTAAGTTCAATTCCCAGTACTGCCAAAAAAAACCCCCCACAAAAACCAAAACTAATTCTTTGAGGGAGGAAGAAAAGATTATTAAGGATGGAAGCTCCACATTTATTCCTAATAACTTCTGCCTTTTGCTAGCCATTCCTTTTAAAGAATATTGCCTTTTCACATATTTGAACATTACTTCATATATTTTTAAATTTTTCCATTGTTAATTTGGCTGCTTTCAGGAGAAAGGTAGTTGGTCCTGAAATCCTCTAATTCCAGGATCACTCTTTCAGTAGCTATTTTGACAATCCCTAAGAGCCCCAACTTGATACTTTTTGTTCTTTTATTTCTTCCTTTCTTTTCTTTTTCCTCTTTTCCTTCAATAAAGAAAATTTTTCTAGGTAAAACCCCTGATATGGCTTTTACTTTATTATTAAACTTTGTATGGTTCAATCCTACAGAGTTCTTAGGAGCCCATCTCTTAATTGCTGTGTATGTTGGGGTACATAAATGTAGAGTGAAGTCTGAGGCAAATTAAGGTTCACCATCTGTCACATGGAAATGTCAGAAAGCAATAAATGCCAGGAAAGAGCCCAGGACTTGACAGATAGCTAAAAGAACATTAGTCTACTGCTATGTCTAAAGAGAGATAGCTGATTGTCCTATTTCTGACTGATGGCTTTGTTTGGATATCTTGAATATCAGGGAAGTCATGAACACAATTCTGTTACTGGAAAGCTCAGAGTAGTTAAAAATTCTTTACCGTGAGCCCAACTATATCTCTTCTTCTCTCTCCCTAGTGTCCTTGATGAAGCTGCTGTTCACATGGTACTCAATCTTAGTTTCATTTTGATGGCTGCCACAATTATGCCTATAGTCCTGATCTCTAGCTTGGTCTATAATCCTGGAAAATAATTAAAATTGGAAAGTTGTTAGGTTAAAGCCCACAAGATATAGTAAAACATAGATAAATATAAGTTCCTCCATACAAATTGGAAACCAGTCATTGAGAATCAGGATACCTGATTTGACTCAAATAAAAGAGATATGAGGCTTTTACTTAACTGTAAATAAACTGTGAGCCTATAATGAGGTGCAGTGTGTATGCTGCACAAATAACAAATGTCAGTACCAGAGACATTTGCCTATGTCTTGAATGAACTTGTGAAAGAGCATGTCTGGGCCTATGAGCAGCAACAGACCAGAGTGTGTGTGGGCATGGAATGGTATTTAGAGACCATGGATCATCACTGGAAATGTGCAGCTGGAAAATGTGGCTCGTGTCTGGAGAAGGGAAGCTTTAGAGAGAAACAAGAACTGTCTTCAAAAGGGAAAAATTTATGGGACAATGATACTTGGTTTGTTCTTTCTGTTATCAGAACACAGTTACAGCATGGTTTCAGGAAGAAACAAAAGATTGGTTTTTGGCTGTGTTTATTAGTAGGCATCTATACTTCTGAGGTCTGTAAAAGGTCAAATGACCTTATGCTTTGTCCTGGAAAATCCCTGTTTCTCTTCCTATCCATAGGGGTACAGAACCAGATGCTGATTTCCAGGTAGGAATGGGAAGATAAAATTATTCAATTTGAGGAAGAACAATTGGGCAAGAGATTTGAGAAGCCTGCCAAATAGAAGTCCTCCCCCCACCCAAACAGCCGACCAGCTTCCAGTTGCCAGAAACCAATATCTGATTCCAAGCACAAGATCCTGTTTGGTGTTGTGGGGAGCCACGGGAAGAAAGAATTTGGAGCAGATAGACCATGGTTTGCAGTTTTGCTATGCCATTTATTGGGTCTGTAATTTTGTGCAAGTTACTTAATCTTGCAGAGCCTTGGAATACCTAAAATGGAATGATTAAGTTCTAGTTCTTTGTGATAAAGTAAGATGACAATTATAAATCCCCTGGCACATAATTAGGTGTTTATAAGCATTGAAGTTCTTCCTAGCATCCTGAGGCTAGTCACCAATAGTACCACTGTAGTTTGAAACAGGTAAGTTGTAAGGAAGCACTTTTGTTTTTCAGGGGTCCCTTCAGAACTCTCCCCAGCTACTGAGGAAGAAGAATCAAAGAGTGGCTTGGATGTCATGCCCAGTATTTCTGATGTGCTGCTGCGAAAGCTGCGGGTCCACAAGTCTCTCCCAGGAAGGTAAAATCAGAACGTGGCTTGCGCAAGACCCTGTTTTGGGTGGCCCTGTATTAGATGCGGGCTTGGACCCAGAAAAAGTCCAGGTTCTTAACCCTAGAAGAGCCAAAGTTCAATGGTCCAGGCAGGGGAAACGCATCCAAAACAAAAAGAGAAAGGGTTAGGCTGGTGTTTCCAGTTCAAAGCCCATGTGGAGTTCAGAGGTGGGCACTGCCCTTGAGGACCCAAAGGTCACCAGAGGCTCCTGGCAACAGAGGATGGTGAGCTTTGTGCCAGAGACATGGGTTTCAATCTGGATACACCATTCATCTGCAAGTGGGAGAGTCAAGGTCTGAACTCTGTATAGACAGAGATGTACAACATTCGGAACCACATGCAGAAGAGTTGCTTGGAAAGCCTGCCAGACTTCTTCCATTCATGTAGAGAAAGTGCCTTTGCTTTTTGAGCTTCAGCCTTGTCACCTGTACAAGAGGGGTCATAGTGCTCTGTCGCTGGTAGGGTGTGGCACTGGCTAAATGAGGTCATGTGTGCGCAGGAACTTAGGACAGTGCTGGTACTACAGGTGCTGGACAGCGGGTTGAAAAGTAAACAGCTTGCAGATTTGAGGTCGTGAAGTTGTTAGGAAGACCAGGAAGTAGAGACATGGGAGTGAAACACTCCCATGGTTAGGGCGTCTAGAAAGGGCCTCTATGATAAGGTAATAATCAATCAATGACAAGAGGAACCCTTCCACACAAAGATTTTGGTGAAGAGATTTCCAAACAAAAAGAATAGTAACTTCAACAAAAGATACGTGGACAATTTGATAGCCAAATGAAAAAGAGTGAAGTTGCAACCTTACCTCACACAAAAATTAACACAGAATGGGCTGTAGATCTAAATGTAAGTGATAACAGTATAAAGCTTTTAGAAGAAAACATAGGAGTGAATTTTTATGACCTTGGATTAGTTGATGGTTTTTTAGATATGACACCAAAAGCACAAGCAACAAAATTTTTAAAATACATGAATCGTTCTTTGTTTAAAAAAAAAAAGTGCTATGCTGCCATCAAGATAGTGAAAGGCAACTCACAGAATGGGAGAAAATATTTCCAAGTCATTTATCTGATAAGGGACTTGTTTCTAGGGCATATAAAGAATCTTTATAGCTCAATAAAAAGACAACCAATGGCTCAAAATGGACAAAGGATTTAAATAGACATTCCTTCAAAGAAGGTATATAAGCAGCCACATGAAAAGATATTCTTACCCTGTTGGAGGCCCACAGCCCTGGATCCTGGCTGCCTACGTCAGTTTCCAAGGCACAGTTCTGCATCAGAACTGGCCAGGTACACAGATTCTTTGGCTAAATCACACCTGCCTGAGCCCTCAAGGTTTTCAACATAAAAGAAAAAGTTGGATGTGTTCTGCAGCAAAAAGTAGGATGTGAGTCATGAAAGTAGAAAAATTAGTTTGGTAAATTATGAAAACATGTGAATTCCATGTAATATCCAAAGAAACCCAGGAATCAGAGGCACACTCAGTGGGTTTTGCTAAACCACTGAGACAGTATGTGTATGCTCTGTGTGACAGGAGTACGTGGCCCCTCAGAGGAAAGGGCCCTCTGGGTGTGGCTGTGGCAGGAATTGTAAGCAGTGAACATCTTTGTGACTGTTTATCCCATGTTCTGTTCCCTGCTGACTTCGTAGCCATGGGGTCCTGTTGCCTCATCCTGACAGGAAGGCTCTCACAGTCCCTCATCAAGGGTGAGAACCAGCCCCTTACAAAGCTGGCTGACCCCACCTGTGCTGTCGAGGTCCCTCTGCACCCGTGAAAGGAGGAAGCTGTGTTTCCTGAGAAGCTTGTTGATGGCATGCTTGGTGACGCTGGTTGGACCCCTCCCAGTCTTCCCACCCAGCACAGGAAAGGGCCTGTGTGCTATTTACATTATCTGGGGCCAGCTTCAGTTACTAGCAAGAGCAGTGGTGGTGGCAGCCACCCTAAGTGAGGGTGCAGATAAAGGGACTGGTTTCTGGGGACAGCTGTGGGAACTGTACACAAGAAGGAGCCCCTCAAAAGTTCACCTGGGTGCCAGTGGGTCTCTTTTGCCAATCTGATTCCAACCATCGGAGGTCTCACTGTGGAAAAGAGTTCCAGCCAACTCTCCTATGTTTTATTCTCTGACCCACATAGAACTTTGTCACAGCTCCAGAGTAGGGGAAGGTTTCCTTTTGCAGACCTACATAGCCCCAGTATCTTAGTTACTTTTTTCATTGCTGAGACAAAATATCTGACACCCACAAGTTAAGGGAGAAAAGATTTATCTGGCTTACAGTTTGTAGAGGTTTCAGTTCATAGTTGACTGGCTCCTATGGGAGGCAGGGTAGCACATGGCAGAGGGGCAACAGTTCATCCAGGACAGAAGGTACCAAAGCAACAAGGGGCCTTAATAGCATCTTCCTGCTCCTTTTATTTTATTCAGGCTACTTAGGGTGGGTAGCACTCACACCCTTAAGCCTAGTGCCCTTGGGGCTAGCACTGCACCATGAATCAATCATTCACCCACCTCTGAAAAAGCCCCACCTAAGACCACATAAGGCTTGGGGGGGACATCTAGACACAGCCATAACACCCTGAAAACCTATAATGGTAATGCAGATGTGAAGAGTTTGTAAATTAAAAATGCATACCATTTTCTTATTAATTTCTCACAGCCCTGTGAACAAATAATAATGCTAATCAATATTCCCTGGGTGCCTGCTGAATGTGGATGTCGTATACATTTGTCCCTCAGTATTCAGGAGGAATTGGTTCCAGGACCCATGCCTCCCTGTGAATACTAAAATCTGTAAATGCTTAAGTTCCTTATATAAAATGGCATTTGCATATAACCTATGCTTATCTTCCCATGTATTAAATCTTCTCTAGATGACTTATAATACCTAGTGCAATATAAATAGGAGTTACACTGTATTGGTTTTGGGGGGATTTTTTTTTTTGGTACCAGGGATCGAACTTGGGACCTTTTATTTGCAAGGCAGGCGGCAGAACCACTGAGCTAAATCCCCGGCTACACTGTATTGTTTAGAGAATATTACCCTACCAAAGTCTGTACGTGTTCAGTAAAACAAATTTTTTTTTCTTTTTTTGGTACCAGGGATCAAACTTGGGTCCTTGCACCTGCGCAGCAGGTGGCAAAACCCCTGAGCTAAATCCCCAGCCCTCACAAATTATTTTAATGTTTTCAATTTGCCATTAGTTGAATTCAGGAAATTGGAACCCACTGATATGGAGGACTTATTGTATTTATACACAACATATTTATATATATGAGGTTTGGTCAAAAATACAGTGAATGTTTAAATAAATACAATTTATTACAGCAAAAGACTTGTCATTAATCTCCCTCAGTACACTTCCTCTCATTTCAAACATGCCCTGTCTTTTTTGCCACTTTCTGGAAGTCCTTTTTTATATCCTTAGTTGCTCTGTTGTGGCTCCCTTGGTGTTCTGAATCAATTCACTACATTTACCTTTCATGGTCATTTTGACTTTGGGGAAGAGCCAGAAGTCACATGGTGCCAGATCTGGTAATGGTGGATGAAGACACACCATAATGTTCTTAGGAGCCTGCCTTTCCATTGGATGGCACGCAGCAGCAGAGTTCATGGTACTTTTTAAAATCACACCTCATTAAGGCATCATAGAGGACTTTCAGAATTGCTTCAGGAAGTGGCAAGAATAATGGAATAGTGTGTTTAAAGTGAGGGGGACTATTTTGAGGAAGATTAATGGCAATGTGGCATTTGCTGTAATAATTTTTTATTTAAACATGTGTGCTATATTTCAATCATACCTCATATGTATATACACACATTGCTTATAAGATTTCCATAAGGTAGATGGTATAATTCCCATTTTCCAGATGAGCAAGCTGGGACTTAGATTAAATAACTTCTCTGAAGTCAGAGATAGTAGTGACACCGCTGGAGGACTGAGCCCAGGATCCAGTATTTTCTGCCTTGCTACCTCTGTAAGGGTCAGTATCTCACAGAGGACAGGACATACAAAGGGTACTCTGCATAGTTTCTGTCTCACCAACTCCAGTCCTGGAAACATGTAGTCTGCTGATCATTCAGTCATCTCTTGGTTTAACAGGTTGGAGGATGTTCATTTGTGCATTTTTTTCTCTTCCACAGTGCACCTCCACTCACTGAAAAGGAAGTTGAGGTAAGTGACTTGAGTGCTTATGAAATTTAGTGTCTGCTTGGCTGGGCTTATCAAAACATTCCTTCCTCCGGCCTCTCTGGACCTGACCTCTTTAAATGTCAGAACAAATGACTGTGGTGTAATATGAACATTCATGCTCAGCCCTACTGAACCACTGAGATTCCCACTCCCACCTCAGTTAATGTAGGATTTTTAAAATTTGGGAAATATGAGAAGGTGGCTGGAAACTCCATGTTCCTTCAAGGGTTATCTGTGTTCTTTAAATGTATGAGTTAGATATACAAACTCAGCTGGGAGGCTGCAGAACTGTACCCGATTTATTTCAAAATTATTAAAAGATGCTCAAATTTCAAGTTTCAATCCTTGGTCGAGACAGCAAAGGTGCCTGCCTTCTGAGGGTTTCAGCTACAGAAAGCTAGCTCATTTGACAGCTGGGTTGCCAACAGCACAGCCTCCCCTGATGTGGCCATTACCGCCTTTGAGACTTCCTTATCCCAGTGGGGCTGGCAAGTGAGCTGAGAGGAACTTGGTTTCATTCTGGCAAAGGTGTTGACAGACAAATAGAACTCATCAGAGACAAGACAGTGAAAAATGATGTGGTCATTGTCCAAGAAAGATGGATAATATGAAATGTCTACCACAGATGCAGCAATATGAACATTCATGCTCTGCCCTGATGAACCACTGAGATTCCCACTCCCACCTCAGTTAACGCAGCATTTTTTTAATGCAATAGCTGTGCCCTAGACATTGTATGTAAAGCTCCTAACATGCTCATGTCCCTCCATTCAGCGGACCTGCCTGCCAGCTCTGAAAAGCAGGTAGCACAGGCATTAAAACAAAGGAGAAAACAGAGTGTTCAAATAACCTACTGGAAGTCCCCAATCCAGTACTTAGCAAAACCAAGATTTGGACCCAAATGTTTTAATTGAATTTAGACTCTCTATGTTAAGGAGATGGTTCCCAGTATGGGGTTAGTTCCCAGTATAGGGAACTAAGCATTAGGCATTATTCACAGACTTGACTGATGCTGGATAAGACAGAGCATCCCCATCACTGGACTGTGAACTCAAAGCCCATTTTGACATTTGTGAACATAGTCGTGGGTGGTCTGTTTAATGGCCAGATCCTTCCTCAGATGTAAATTGATACAGGATGCTCTCAGCATGGTGGAAATAAAACAAGCTTTGGAATCAGAGAATCCAAAAGTAAGTCTGGCTCTTCTATTCCCTGTCATCTTGAATGGCCTCTCTGGCCTCAGTTTATTCACCCATTAAACAGATATAACAGTTCCCACCCCAGGAGGTTGTTAAATGAGGTAAGGGTTTTAAAATCCATAGCCGTGCCAGGAAGTAGCAAATTTAGCAATAAGAAGCAATTTTCAATATTGGTATCATAATTATATATTGTGGGATCTGCTCAGTGCCTTCGTTCTGTCTGGAGATGTCTGTCCATGGTGGGCCATGTCACGTGGACTTCAGGAGCTCAGGCAGGGTGAGTGACCTCAGAGTATAAATCTGCCACCACTGGACTCAGGCACAGCAGATAAAGGCTGTATAATTGAAGACACTTCCTTCTTTCCTTCCTGTATGGAGTCCATCTGTCTATTTCTCCTCTCCAGTAGTTTCCTATTATTCTAGAAATTCCATGTTTGATCAATACCTTTCAAAAATTCATTCATGACACACTACATTTTTATATGGAATATTTATTCCAGAAAGTGTATCCTAATCATACGTGGCCTTATTTAATCCCCTGATAGCTACTTAAAGCTTCTATGGACGTAGGATTTGAAATATACAGGCTAGGTGCTAGGTGAAGTTCACTTGAAGTCAACAAGGCTTAACTGTCAAACGGGGTTTATTTAAAGACACAGCTTTCACGCAGAATCTCCAAAATCCCCCATGCAATAAAATCCCATCATTAATTCAAGCAGCTTGCACAATCAACTCCATTTGCCTGAGTTTTAATATAAATATAGGATGTCATTTTCTTGAAATTCAGGGAAAGCAGAGCATGATTCTCTTATTATGTTTTGGTAAAATGCACTTGGCCTTCCGGTCTTAGGAAGGACCTTGCACAGACCCTGGGTCACACCTCCTATCCTTGTGTGCTTTACTGTGGAGAGATTTTCACTTGCACATGGCAGCCTTGGTGCCTGATTCCAGGGGCTCTTGTAAAATGTTCAACCAAGAAACACACCTGCTGCCTTGTCCCCTTCAATAACTCCTCCTAGCACCTCTCCCACACTCTTGTTCCCAACAGAACGTGTTTGTACAACTGTCCTTGGCCTTTAGAAATGACAGCTATACCCTGGAATCTAGAATTAACCAGGCTGAAAGAGAACGCAACCTGACTGAGGAGAACACTGAGAAGGAACTGGAAAACTTCAAAGCTTCCATTACGGTAATTAGGGAGCTTGACTAGGGAGTCCTTGCAGGAGGGACTGTCTCCAAGGGCCATGCCAAGGGTCATGCTCCTCTCAGTCACCAAGTAGAGTCTCTTGCAATGAGAAATGGGGCCAAGCCTGACAGAGTTTTCCTCAGAGAGCTGGGAGGAGCTGAGGCAGAGATTCTGAAGACCTGGTCACCCCAGGACTGTGGTCAAGGCCTCTGAGGAGCTTCTCAGGACGGGGCCGGGTGGCCTGCATGTGACTTCTTCATTCAGGCCAGCCAGGTGTACTGTACCTGCACTGGGCTCCTCCAATCCCAAGGAGATGCTGTGGCCCAAGCTCTGCAGAGGCCCCTTCTTTCAGCCAAGATGAGGTTCAGGGCTTGCCTCATGAAAGTCAGGCCTACACTTGGTCTGTGTCTTAGTCAGCTCAGGCTGCTATAACAAAGTGCCATGGACCAGGTGGCTTAAGCAACAAACATTTATTTTTCACACTTCTGGAGACTGGAACCCAAGGCAAGGGTGCCAACATGGTCAGGTTCTAGTGAGTGCCCTCTTCAGGCTTGCAGATTGCCAACTTCTCCTTTTATCCCAACATGGCAGAAAGAGGGCAAGAGAACTCTCTGGGACCCTTTTATAATCCCATTCTTAGAGCCCCGGCTTCATGACCTAACACACCCCAGAGTCTTCACTTCCCAAAACTCTCACATTAGGGGTTAGGATCTCAGCACATGCATTCAGGGGGGACACAGACTCTGGGTCCATAGCACTATGTGAGGACTGTAGATGATGCTCCTTCTTGCTAATCAGTCTTCAGCGTCGCTCTGGAACCACTGTGAGCACCGTGAGACCTACCAGAAGCTGCTGGAGGACATTGCAGTCTTGCATCGCCTGGCCGCCCGCCTCTCCAGCCGTGCTGAGGTGGTTGGGGCCGTCCGCCAGGTGAGCCCCACCACCCCAGCCTTGCTAACTCTGTTCCCACCAGCGAGGTGACTAGCACAGTGACACGAGCAAGGACAACGGCAGGTACTGCCCAGTGACGGCTCGCTCTGGGCCAGAAGTCCTGTGTAGGTTATTGAGGTATTGTTGAGAGTATTTTTGGTGGCCCACTAAACCCCTGAGGTGCTTCTTTGCAAGGGTATTGTGTGAACACATAAGTTTAGGGGAGACTGTGTGTTGTCTTCCTTTCTTGGCAATTTCTAAGCATGTTGGCTTTAGAGTCCTGTAAGAAAGAAGCCTATTTAACTTTACCCATGTATTTCCCAAATGCATCTGGCTCAAGAACCCCTCCCTCTTTAGTTTTTTCACAAAATACCTATTCACCTCCCATGGAACTAGTACCGGCAAAACATGCCTTAGGAAAATGGCTTTGTTTCACTAAATCTACTCAGTAATCTTATAAAGTAATTATCTTTTTCTCCCAAATGAAGATGCAAAGTCCCAGAAGGGTATAGATTGAACATCCCTAATCTGAAATCTAAAATCCTAAATATTCTACATTTTTTGAGTATGTACATGATGCTACAAGCAGAAATTTCCACACCCGACTTCCTGTGGTGAGTTAGTCAAAACTCAGTTGCACCAATAATATTAGATATAGATATAGAGTTACCAGCACTCTGTAAGTACATATGGAATAGAAATGAATTTCATGTTTGGACTTGCGTCCTATCCCCAAGATATCTCATTATGTATACGCAAATATTCTAAAATCTGAAAAATAATACCAAATGCAAAGCATTTCTAGTCCCAAGAATTTTGGATAAGGAATACAGAACCTGTAACAGCACTAGTGAGTGACACAGCGGGGCTTCAGGCCCAGGTCACACCCCCACTTGGCCCCTTTGAAGTCTTGAAGTGCTGAGCTCCAGCAAGGTATTACAGGGCCACACTGCAAATTCCTATCCTGGCTCTACCCCTTCATTGCTGTGTGACCTTGGACCAGTTGATCCTTTGGCTGTAAAATGAAGATGATTGCAGTGTCTGCATAGGGTGTTAAAATATTTGCAAAGCACTTTGACATCATTATTATTGTTGCTGCTATCATGGACCCATGTCCTGCTGCACTACTTGCATGAGAGGATGTTCTTAGGGCACAGCCCCGAGTATTGCCTGTAAAATAAAAAGACAAGCCCCAGAGCTGACCCATCCTTGAATCCTTCCGGGGAAAGGGCCCCTGACTCAGCAGTGTGGCCCAGGAAGTCACCCAGCTGTCCTCAGCCCCATATGGCTGTGAGGACCTCTTCTAGGGAATCAATGGGAAAGTCCCTCTAAGGCCAGACAGGACTTAAGCTGGGCCCTCAGAGGGCCCCTACAGGGTATGAGCAAAGAAAACTCATCCTTACCTGCACAGCCCCCTGAAATGTGTTTCTTGCCTCATGTGCTCCTCACTCCCACCCTGCCTTCAGCATCTCCAGCCTCACCTTCCTCTCTGGCTCTCCTGGGCCAGTTCAGGTACTGGTCCTGTCTTTCCTTGCTGCTCTCACTACAACCACTCTCTTCAATCCCATCTCCACTCGTGACCTGGTTATGTCACCCCATTACTTTAAGACAGGCAACGCTCCCCTTTTTCTTCAGAATAAGTCTACATTCCTCATCTAACATTCAAGATCTTTTACAACGCCATCCTAATCCACTTGTTCTTCTTGTGAACAAACCCAGCTGCTCGTTGGTTCCCACACAAGTAGGACGACTGCTCTGTCCTGGTTTGCTAGACAGCCCTGGTTAGTGCATCTTGTCGCAGGTAACAGCACCCTTTTCACTCTCCAAAGCATTTCTGTCTGGAGGACAAACCTTCACCTACATACAAGCCCCGTGAGGTCCTGGCTCAGGCTCCCCTTAGAGTTCCCTGGCCTGGATTCCATTTGTCTCTCCTGCCCATGTCGATGTGCCCAAATCCTGCCCACATTCTACATCCATCCCCTTCCCACACAGCCTTGGCTGTCATTCTCAGCAAGCAGAAGCAAATTCCCTCCTCCTCTCAATCTCCTGCAATGTGCACTTGTGCTGCTCTTCTATCTGGTCACAGGTGCCTGGGTCCAACCTTCAGCTCGTATGGTGAGCAGGGTCACATTGCATGGATCCCTCTCTCCCTTCCATTCTTGAAGCCCAGAGCCTGACTCAGAGCAGTGTATGGTGATGGCATTTTTACCGCAACTACCCGCCCCCCCCACACACACACACACTCAGGCTCTCTTTCCTTGCAGGAAAAGCGTATGTCAAAAGCAACAGAAGTGATGATGCAGTATGTGGAGAATCTGAAGAGGACGTATGAGAAGGACCACGCAGAGCTCATGGAGTTTAAGAAACTTGCAAATCAGAATTCAAGCCGCAGTTGTGGCCCCTCTGGTAAGGAACTAAACTTTGGTCTCCATCTTGGTCTAGCTATGCAGGTCGCCAATGGCTCTCAGCCCTGGGACCTGTTTCGGGTTGAGTAATCTCCCTGCCTCTACCCAGTGCAGCCCACAGGGCCCTCACAGCAGCTGTTCCAGTGAGCCTTGGGGCCTGGAACCAGGAACTGTGAATAGCTCCAAAGTGATCGCTTGACTCGCAACACAGTTACCTAAAGTGGCTGGCCACAGACACAAGCCCACAGCATGCAAGAACTCCCTCCACTTTGTGAGAGGAACCTCAGACCCCACAAATCTTTGTGCTTTGGGACCCCCTGGCCCCCTTTAGGCAGCACATGCTAAGGAATTTGGGCTGTATTCTGAAAAGCATTAGGTATCCAACTAAGAAAAGAGCATGATCATAGATATAATTTAAGAAAGTTCTCTCCAACAGTAATAGGTCAATTACATTACCAGAATAAGCCAGAGCCAGAAAGCCCCATGGAGAAACTATTGCAACAGGCCAGGTGAAATGACATCTGGGCATAGGGTAGAGTGAGAGCCTGACTAAAGAGATATTATTGAGGTAAAGAGCAGACTTGTGGGCAAGAGGAATGTTTTCAAGAAATACTCTGCTTAGTTAACATTCTATACAAATTGCTTGAGGACCACAGAGGAAGGTCTACTTGATTCTGCATGAAGGAATCAAGGAAGCCTTCACAGAGAGATAGATGGTGCCTGGCCAGTGTTTAAAAGTAAATATAGAAGTTCCACAGCCAAGAAGGGGAGACTCATCCCTGGTGAAAGTAGATGAAATAGACAGTCTGATGTTGTTGCAATGCAGGGATGTGATGGGCTCAGTAGACCAGGGCTACCTGCCAGGCCATGCCAACAATGCAGGCTTGAGCTCTAGGCATGGGGGAGTCACTGATGAGTTTTGACGTGACCGAATTTTATTTTTAGAAGATTACTCTAACTTCAGTATGCACAATGCGTTAGAAGTGTGTACAAGGTGAAGTAGGGAAAGACAAGTAAGGCGGCTCTTGCTCAGTCCAGGAGAGAGATGATGGTTCCTTGGGCCAAGATCTCTCCTTGGATGCTGCCAGGGCTTGGCCTCTTGCCTGTGAGAGTGGCTCACTAGAGAAAATGGGCCTTTTTACATCAGGAATCCCTGTGGAATGCAAACATCTGTGTTACCAAGAGCAGGAAGAGAGAAAGTATAACAGATGGAGAAACCTTTATAAACAGGAGGTTTCACAAGTTTCCTGGGGAATATCAGTGACACTTCCAAGAGTCCAAAGGCAGTGTGCACATGCTCCAGGTTGTCTGCTTTGGATCTCATCACCAAGACACCCAACCACAGGCATCTGGGCTTCTAATGAACTGCCCCTGGCCAGCATTGGACTTGACCGGAAGTTGTTGCCAAGGAAATTCTAGTACATGGGTTCTCACATAATTGGCCTGCAAGATTCAAGGCTTCCTAAGAACCATCTTACCCAAGATTTATGAGATGAGCAGTTTTCCAGTGAGTCTCATTCATTCATTCTACAGACATTTATTGAACTTTTTTGGTCTGCCCCACATGATACTGGAGAATAGAGCCACAGGGCACACAGTCCCAAACACAAAGGAGCTCTCAGTCCATGGGTGGTCAGGGCAGTGCAGCCAGGGCTGTGATATAAGTGTGGGAGTATGGTGCATTCTGGGAGGATAAGAAAATGCACGCAATAGGAAAGAACATGATACCTGAGATCTGACTGATGAATACATGGGTTGTGGATATTTGGTTCCACTTCAGTTGTTTTTTCTAAACTATACCTCCACTGGTAGTAGCTGGTGCAGAGGGGGCAGTAAAAACCCAGAAGGTAGGTCCATGGGATATGCTATGATCATTTCCTAATAATGTGTTCTTTTTAAGCCCTTTCATGACTTCTGGCAATCTTTGTTTATGGTTGAGACTTGGAAGACTACAGTGAAATAAAATATTCCTGATTTCAAAAAATAAGAAGCACATTTTAAAGAACATTTTTTTCTGAGTATGCAACATGCTAATTATCTACATTTTGGATTATTTCTTAAGTTAGATTTCTAGAAGCATAGATACTAGTTCAGGGGGGAATATAAGGCTCTTACAGCAAAATATTTTCAAATAATTTATTTTTATTTTCATTTAGTGGGTTGCAATGACACTGAATTCATTGTGCTATTGATGTAATTCTTGTTCTTTCTTTTTTAAAAATTTTATGAATTTGAAAGTCAAAAATTATTTTATCTCATAGTTTTAATTTGTATTTCTTTAACTTTTCAAATATTTATTAAAAATTTATTTCTATTTTTGGAAATTCTCTAATTATGACCTTTGGCCCCTTGTAAGACAGGTATTTTGTTAAATTGTTTGAACTCTTCATATATAAAAAATATTTTCTGGTTTTGCTATTTTGGCTGACTGGAAAACTTGAAAACACTTTGACCATAAATACTTAGAAATTTTTGTTGGACAAAATAAAGCAAGCAATCTAAAAGAACAGCTGAATCCACAAGAAAAGAAATTGAAGTACTCAGATACAAGGAAGGAAAAGAGAACTGAAACCAAGCTGATCCTGCAGGTTCCTTGGAGACAAAGTCTATTATCTGGGGGTTCAGTTGTCTGGGGCTAAGCATTTGCATTCAGTGTGCCCTGAGATAAGGCCTTGAACGTTCTTGATAGAGTTGACACTGAGATTCACACAAAAAGCTAAAGCCTTCCAAGGACTGCATCTTTCAATAGAATTTGGACAAATACAATCACCAACAAGCTGAGAAACAAGGAAGTTGTCTGTTTTAGCCTTGCACTCTGGTAGGAAGAAATCCTTTCTCCTTCCTCATAGGACAAGTATGTGCTGAAAATGACAGCAAGAATGGTGCAATATGCAAAGAATCTGAAAGAACAGCAGGATGGTGCCCTTAGGATATGGTCAGCCACCCTGGGGAGACACACCCTGTACCCCGAACCCATAGGATCCCTTTAGATAAAGCCTTGTTGAAGACATAAAATTATAAAATACACAAAACAATCCACTATGAACAACAGTCATCAGACCTAATAAACCATAAGCTTATATCATAAGAATGTCCAAAAAATCTGAATTTAAAAAAAAGATACATTAAAAATTATTGGAGGCATAAATGAATGGATGGAAAGGATGAAACTAGAAAGAATACAGGTATCAAAATAGGATAAAATAGAACTTCTCAAAATGAGGAATAGAGTCACAGGGATGGAAAACTCAGTAGTGCAGGTGTAGGAGTTATGCAGATGAGGCAATTCCTCAATATGCCAGACCTGCTCCTTCTGGGCACTTTTCTCCATCCCCTTGGAGCCCGTGTGGCAGGCTTTGGTGAGTGAGATATGTCCCATCTGAGCTGAGGTCCTTAGGAAGTGGCATGCAGTTTGTTCTTTCTTTCTCCTGAACCGACAACCATCACTGCTTCAGAGTACTGGAAAATCCATTTGACCAGAAGACAGGCTTGAGATGGTTACCCAAAATGCAGTTCCGGGAGACACAGTGATTAAAAAAATAAAAGAAACATTATGAGACATGTGATACAGAGTATGGAATGAAAAGTCTGCAATCCATTTATTAGATAGTCTATAAGGAGAAAATTAAAGAAAGAATAACTGAAGATTTTCCAGGAATAAAGAAAGACCTAAATCACTGAATTCATAAAGCCTCGAGAATTCCTCACAGGAGAAATAAAAACATATGAAAGAAGAACTTCAGAAGATCAAAGGCAAAGAGAAGATCTTAAAAGTGACAAGACAGAGATGGTATTTTACAAAGGGATGGCAATTCTCAAATACAATAATGGCATCAGAACACATGGAATAAGCTTTTCAAAGAGCTAAGAGAAAATAACTATCACCTACACTTAAAACCTAAACATACACTGCTTGCAAGGTTGAGGGCTAAGTAAAAACATTTTGAAACAACTAATGAGAAAGCTTACCTCTCACAAGTCCTTGTTAAAAGGACAGCTAGAAGCCAGGAATGGTGGTGCCCCAGCACTAGGGAGGCTGAGGCAGGAGGACTGCTGTGAATTTGAGGGTAGCCTGGACAGCATAGTGAGCTCAGTGAGACCCTGTCTCAAAAAAAAAGAACAACTAAAGGATGCACTTAAGAATGAGACTGAGCTCAATCAAGAGAGTAAGAATGCAAGAAAAACAATGATCAGAGATATGTGTAAGCATGTGAATAGATCTAAATAAGCACCCACTATAAAAAGCAACAATCATAATGAATACTTTGGGAATATAAAACAAGGTGAAATAAAAATAGTGAAGAACAATATAATTAAGATTGGAGGGTATTATTATTGTTTTAAGACCTATTCAGGGAAAAAGTAGAGAACTTGACTAATTTTAAAGTCAAATGTTATGTCCAAAAGTTAAAGGAATACATGAAAGATTAAAATTCATGGAAGAGGGATTAGAAAATAATCAATCAATAAATAAAAAAGGAAATAGAAAATAAGATAGTGTAAATAAATACAAATACATCAACAAGCTCAGGAAATATAGGCAGTGCAAACCTGTTGATTAATAGAGAACCTCTCTTGTGGTGGTTACATTAAGAAAAAATATATATGGCTGGGCATTGTGGCACACACCTGTAATCTTAGCACTCAGGAGGCTGAGGCCGGAGGATCGGAGGATCACTTGAGTCCTAGAAGTTTGAAACTAGCCTGGGCAACATGGAAGGAAGGAAGGAAGGAAGGAAGGAAGGAAGGAAGGAGGGAAGGAAAGGAGGGAAGGAAGGGAGGAAGGAAGGGAAAAAAGCACATACATCGTTTTCAAAAGACACACCTAAAATACATGGATATGAAGGACAGAGAGATGTACAGGCTAGATGATAACTAAATCAAACTGATTTGACCTTGCAAATGCATTTCTTTTCATGTATTTGGATGTTTCCTGGTAGTACTATTATGCGGTGTGATATTAAACATTTGACCTAAGTTATATCACTGAATGTACATACTAAGGAGAAGAAAATCCTAGGATGGTAGCTTCCTTTGTTCTAGTCATTGTATAGGTGATGTTTTGAAACTACTTCTGTTAGCAAGTTTTCACTCTTACCAACACCACACCTTCTTGGTCAGTTTGACTGTACCTCCTTTGAATGAACACGAAATGACTCTGTAAGCCTTAGTATTGCTATGAGTAGGTTCCTCACCCTGTCCAAAGTGATAGCTAGAAACTGTGGTGGTATCAAATGATCAGAAGGCCAAGATTAGGGCTTCATATAGAGTCCAGTGGAGTTAGGATAAAGGTTTTGTCCAAGGGTTCTCACTGTGCAGGTGATCATCTCAAAGGCTGAAGTGCCAAACTCAGTGTCCCCTACACCTACACCTGGACCCTTGGGCCATCCTTGGAGGGCCAGTTCTGGCCCATAGGTATCTTGGCATAGTTTCTGCCTTCCTGTTTCTTGCTGGAGCCTAGTCTGAAACTTACATGAGTTCTCTTCTCTTTTCCCTCCTGCTGTAGAAGATGGGGTCCCTCGCACGGCGCGGTCCATGTCCCTCACGATGGGAAAGGTATGCACCTTCAAGGAATACAGCACTGAGCTCCCAGAGGGAGTATGACAGAAGTTTCCACGGTCATCCAAGCAATCATTCATCTTGGATCCATGGGTTCTAGAGACCCTCTGCACAGTTTCTGCTCAGTTTCACCTTTGCCAGCCTAGCCATTGATCTCTCCCCTTTCTTGCTCATTTATTTCCCTGCCTACACATCACCTAAAGGAGCATGAAATGATGTATATACCTTGGCATTGCTGTAGGCAGTTTTTATAACTATCCAGGATGTTACTTGGAGACAAACCACTTTTATTCTGTTTCTCCCAAATTTCATAATCTAAAATAGGAACAAGCTGAGCGATCACACACCATCAACAGAAAATTTGGTTCAACTTCTGTCTCCTCTCTCTACACCAATCCTCAATACTGTCAGTACCTCAAAACCAAATTTTCCCGTGAATGTCATTACAGCTTTAGGAACTACAGACCTTTTCCAGGCCCTTCAGACTGTTGCTACCTGTAAGAAAGTGGGCCTGGTCACTTCTCTTCCCACAGAACATGCCCCGCCGGAGGGTCAGTGTTGCTGTGGTCCCCAAGTTTAATGCCCTGAACCTGCCTGGCCAGTCTCCCAGCTCATCACCCATCCCCTCCCTATCAGTTCTGGTGAGTACAGTGACGCCTGTTTGCAGCCCTATTTTCCCCTTTCCCTCACACACACTACTATGGTCGGCAGGGTGAATGGGGTCAGGGCCAACAAGGACAGGAAATTTGCAGCACAGAATTTGGATGGTAGGCTCTGAAAAGCTCAATGTAGAGCAGGCCATGTACATTCCTCTACTCTAAGAAGAGCTCTGAGTGCCCTTCAGCAAGATGTAAGCAGCTCAGAAAATATTCCTTATACATGGGGACTCGTGCTTAAACCACAATTCTCCAAGGTGTGTATGATTCTTTTGCACTCTCCAGTGGCTTTAGGTAGCCAGGGGTTGTAGCATGTAGTGAGTGGTAGAGCTGAGCTTTGAGCTCTAGGCCCTCAGAACCCAGAGCCTGAGTTCCTAAACCCAGTGTTGCTGGATTCATGGCAGTGTTATTTATAACTGTGAAACACTGGAAACAACCCAATGCCCATGAATAAGAGATTGGTAAACAAATTAGGGATATCATATAAAGAGTTTCTATAGAATTATTGCCCATAATTTATTCTGAATAGATAGCAATTTAAAATATACATAAAACTATTGTATATGTAGTATAATTCTGCTTTGTACTTTTAAATTTTTCTTTCTATGTGTAGACATAGAAAATTCTGAAAAGATAAAATGTAAAACTATTAATAATAATTATCTCTGGGCAATGGTAAAACATAATTTTTTCTTGATTCTTTTTTATATTTCTACAGGAAAAAATACAGGTAATCAGAAAAAATCCATTTCAGTTTCTCTAAATACAGTTTCTATATTTATAAGGAAATATTTTCCACAATCCAAGCTTTTGTGTATCTAGTTAATTCTATCAAAAACTCATTTAAGTCTTTCCCTAGTGGTTTCTTTATTCTTTGTCCTATTGTATAAAGAAACAGTTGTGCAAGTGATTGGTAAATTCACGTTCTATTGTCATACCAATAAGTAGGAGTAGCTCTCAAATTTCTCTCACCTCTTCCCACCTTATTCAGTTCAGTCATTTATGAAATGATCCTAAACTTCCAAATCACTAACTCCCAAATTATTGCTTTTAAAGATTTGGGAGTGATTCCTGAACACCAGGGAAAAATTAAGAAGGAGTGGAAGGATTCGTTGATGCATTTTAGTGGACCTATTTTCCATACTCTACCTAAATGTATAAAATGTGGTTTCCAAATACAGTGGTGCCTTGGTTTATGAACTTAATTTGTTTTATGATTTTGGGGAAGATGGCTATGTTTGTGTTGTGTGAGGAAGATGGCCCGTGGTTGTGTTTGTCACCCAATGCAGAATTTGCTAACAGAAGCAAAATTTTGCTGAACAATTTTTTTTGCAAACCAAATTGTTTGCAAACAGAAGCATTCATGAACCAAGGTATTACAGTATATATTTATTTAGACCAGGAGTAATGTTAAAATCAAAAGGGTACTCTGAAAAACTTTATGCCCAGGCCCTACCCCAAGACTCTGGGATGAATCAGTAATTTTAAAAAAATCTCCACCAAGTGACTCTAACGTGCAGCCAGAGGTGAGAATGCTATTTAAACCATATCCACTGCAGCAACACACCACAGAAGTCCTGGGGAGTTGACTGTGCAGAAATTCCTGCTGGCTTGAGCATGCAGTAATGGCAGGCACCTCCCAAGTGCTGTCCAGGGGCTATGATGGGCTCATGTGAGTTCATCCCAGGGAACGAAGGAGGTAGGGGCCCCACTGGTGTGAAGTCACCGTCAGGAAATGGGACCGAAAACACTGTTGGCTCTCCTCTAGAATAGAAACTCAAAATGTAAACTCTGCTTTTCCCTCAGGAAAAGTAGATGAGAAAAAGGAAAAGGAGCAAGTCATAGATGCCTCAGAGGGAGGGGACACTGAGAAAAGGAGGACAAGGAAGCCATGAGGGAAAGAAGGATGCCTGGGTTCTGGTGGAGATTGGAAAGTGATATGGAGCGGGGGAAGGAAAGAGGGGGGGCACCAGAAGCCCTTCCCCAGCATGATCCAAGGCCTAGTAACCCTAGCTTCCTCCTCACCACTCATCCTCAATTCTATCTCCTGTTTCCCATCCAGTCAGAATCACCCAACGGGAAAGGCAACCTATCTGTCACCTCAGCACTGCCCGCACTTTTGGAAAAGTAAGTTTGCCAATTTTCCTCTTAATGTTGAAAATCTCTAAGGAAAGTTTCCCCAACTCATTCCCTTTCTTCTCAACCTCAACCTCAAAATGTGATGGAAAGGAAAAGCCAAGTTCAGGGCTGGGGATTTAGCTCAGTGGCACAGTGCCTGGTCTTGAGTTCGATCCCCAGTACGAAGAAAGAAAGAAAGAAAGAAAGAAAGAAAGAAAGAAAGAAAGAAAGAAAGAAAGAAAGCAAGCTAAGTTCTAGGGGAAGTGAATGGGACTCTGAGAATCACATGGATTTCAGGGAAACTTTGCAAAATTCTTGGACCAGGAAATGCTATGGCTGAGGCCAAATGCACCCAATCTAAGAAGAGCCCAGAGGAGTCAGCACCCTTCCCTGTTGGTTGATATTTTTAGGGCTCCAGATATAAGAAAGCCCTAACTTAAAGGGGCTGAAATAATAAGTCCAGAGGTCTGGCGGCTCCAGTTGTGGCACAGCAGGACTCCAGCTCAGTCTCTACAATGTTCTTGGCTTTGGCGCTTCATATGTTGACCTCTTCTTCAGGCTGTGGCAAATGGCTGTAGTTCCAGGGATTCCATCCAGAATGACAATGTCTAGAAAAAGACAGGCACCATCCTTCCCCTAGTTCTTCCTTAGGAGTAAACCCAGAAGTATCCACCATCTTCCTCCATAGGCATTGGCAAACTGGGAACATTGTCATTTTCTAAACCAACCACAAGCTTTGGGAATTGGGTAATCATTATACGCTGAAATTATCCCCTAAAGGTGGGATGAGGATAGCTTCCCTTGAAGCACAGTGACTCAGTGCACAAGAGTAAATTCCTGTACAAAATCATGTTGCCATTAGGAAGGAGGAAGGAAGGTAAATGTTGCAGCAGCAGCCAACAGTGTCTGTTTCGCCCAACTTTTCTAGGCATCTGTGCAATTTGTGGGTCTCTTCATCCCCAGCCAGAGTAAGTCAGCCTGTTTCTATGTACTTGAAAGAGTTTACAACTTACTTTTAAAATTCTTTCATTTGCTCGATTGAAAACATCTGGATTGCAGCTGCCACCTCTCAGAACTTTCCCCCTACATCTTTCCTCCCTTGGTGGAGCATATACCTCATTCTTCCTTCTTCCTTGCCTCAAAACAGCTTTAGTCCTCATTTTCCATTGCTACTAGAAAAGGTTTACTTGACCTGGCAGGAATGTGCATTTTGGGCCCCTTGTCAGTACAGATGAGCTCCCAAGCCAACTCAGCCTGTTTTCCTCACATCCGGTTAGTCTAGAAGTTTGCCCAGATTTTCTTTCCTTGCCACCTCACTACTGATAGGCAGTATCTATCCTCTTTCTCTACCCCTCCTCTTATCCCATCACTACAGGGAAATTATAAACAGGTGACACATTAGCCACATGTGAAAGTAACTAATGCTACAGAACCTAACCAGTCCCTCGAGTCATAGTACAGCCCTCCTGTTGGGTGCACCAACCCCACTCCACAGCGCTCCTACAAGGCCTCATTCCCAACTCCACACCTTCAGAGCAGGTCAAGGCAGAAGACTGAGGTCCCTGCTCTTCCCAACAGATTCTCATCATGGTACAGCAAGGCTTGGTCTCCAGAGAACTAATTCAGGTCAGCTGAGAGCTGCCATCCAATGTGGTGGGGATCATCAAGAACATGAGCTGTCCTTGGTAGGAGAAACTGAGGTACGAACTTGGGAAGAGCAGGCAGCAGCCCCAAATTCATTATTTTTTTTTTTTTAATTTTTTTTTTTTTGGTACCGGGGATCGAACTCGGGTCCTTGCGCTTGCGCAGCAGGCAGCAAAACCACTGAGCTAAATTCCCGGCCCAGCAGCCCCAAATTCAGAGTGGCAACAAGTGAGGATCAGTGATGGTGCCACCTTTTTAAGTGTTTAGAGTCAGGGGAGAAGGGTCAAAGTGAGAATTAAGGCCAGTCAAGCAAGAGGTTCCCAGAAAGGTGTCTGCATCTCCTCCTAGGGCTGACCACAGAGATCACCAGTAGCCATGTGCGATGTGGGCTGACTCACCTGTTGGGAATACAACCATACAAGGATTCATGCAAAGAGAGGAGGGAGGAGTCAAAAGAGGAGAGACTTGGGACAATGAGCAACTTCTCCCTCTGGATTTATAAAATGTGTTAAGTGGTTTCTATCTGAACTCATGAAACTGGAAACTTTTAATGGATTCCCAAGTGGCTGACAGTGAGACAGTTTGTAAGCAAAAGTGAACTCCACAGATACAGTCAATTCTAATTCTAGCTACCCTATCCATATTGTTAAAGAGAAACGATGTATTACAATTTAGTAGACATCGCTGTCTAGTTTGTTATATTCCACTTTATGTTAAAATGATTCCACATTTCCCAAGCATTCAGTAACTAAGCAAGAAGGGAACTGGCTAAGCATGTAAGAGGAAGACCCAAGAGCCCGTGACTGCCACACAAATAAATGCCCGAGAGCTGATGGCGCTGCCCAGTGTGACTGCAGACTTCTCAGCCTTGCTCTTGTAGGTCACTGCATGATAAACTGCTCTTCACTACAGAGAGGTCTGGGGACTTGCAGACCCAACGAATCATATAGGTCGAGAGTGATGTTTAAAGTTAGTCTTAAAGACTATAACAGAACAAAGTTCAAGAGCAGTTTCACCCTCTTGTATAGGAAGACCCGTACACTTGTAGTCTTTCATTCTTCATTCTTTTGACAATTAATTACCAAGGGTGGGGCATAGATTGCACTCAAGGAGCTTCAATTCAGTGGGAAAGACAGACTGGAAACAGCCTGTTATTTGACAGTGGGATGTGTGTTATTGTAAGGAAGCACAAGTTACTAAAAGAGCAACACACATGAAAATAAGCATGTAACACAATTAGGGTGTAGGCTCAGGGAAGGGGAGGCTCAGAAAATGCTCCCCTCTCAGAATTTATTTTTTAAGTGAAACCTAAAGGTTATATAATTAAATGGTGGTGGTGGTGGTGGTAGGGGTGATAATTATTATTTACTTCACACTCACCATATCCCAAGTACTTTATTCATTTCTTTACATTAAGAATCACATTTAATCTTCACAATAATCCCATGAGGTTAGGTACACTGCTAGTAACCCTGTTTTATAGAAGGGAAACTGGTGCCCAGAGAAATGGTCACTTCCCTGAGCTTACACAGCTCAGGCTCTTAACTTCTTAATAGAACAAAGGAAGCCCAGGGTGGCTGCAGAGAAGAGGGTGGATTGAAGAGTTCTTTGGGGAAGAATCTGGTGGCCCCATGAGCATGCAGAGGAAGGCAGAGTGGAGTGGGTTGAAGGTGCATGCACAACCCCTAGCTGAGGAATCAGCAAAACTGCGGTGTGGATGTACACCGGGTTAGTTTCATAAAGGGCCCATTATGCTGATGCATCACAGTGCAGTTTTAACTATGATCTCTAAGCCCACCATCTTCTATACTTTTGAAACAACTAGGATAAATTGCTTAAAGATTTTATATGACATTAAATTTGTACAATATGCAGCACCCACCCAGTGGTATTCTGGAGTGAATTATCCCCCAGTAAACTGAGGTGAACCCAGCAATCTGGGACAGGGTGAGAGGGGGTAAGGAAGATCTTCTTGCTTGGGTCCTTTGGAGTGAGCTTGTCAGGGGAGCAGTAGCAGTGGGGGTGAACATTGCTGGGTGCAAGAGGTAAGATCTGTCCACTGGGTTGTAGTCATTTTCAAATGCTGTTTACCATGTGGAAAACATTAAATCTAATATACCTGGCTATTCCATAACACATTTTGCCTAAACAGCCCCTCACATTACTAGGAGCTGAGCACAGTGACAAACACTTTTGACTGGTGAACATGCAAGAGCAATGAGCTTCATTTTAATCAATCACCCCAGAGTAAAAGACGTGTAAGATTTCGGGCTGGGGACACATGCCAAGATCAGTGAATGTTTGGCTCAGAAATCCCTGTGGGTGGGCACAGGCTGTGCTTAGTCCTAGTTTACAAACATGAAAACAAATTCCTTGAGCCTAACATAAACATTGGTTCTCAGGAAGTACAGAGAGGTCCTTCCCATTTCACAATATTCCATAGGAGGACTGGATAAGCCATAGCGAAGTCGGGGCTACTCCACAAACATTTAAAGGCATCTACTGTGTGCTGAGCATCATTCTGACTGAAACACAGTTCTGACCCCTGTGATCACAGTCATGAAACTGGAATGGGCAGGCAAGTAAAAAATGTCTTCTGTCTGAGTCAGGCCATGGTGGAGGTGAGAGCATAGAGGAAGGGGGAGATCAACTTTACCCAGAGAGTGTGGGAGAGGGAAAATCAGTAACAGTTTTCACAGAAGAGAAGGGCTTCAACCGAGTATTAAAGATGCCTTCGGAGAAACAGAGGTAGTTGGAAGAAGGTATTCAGGGAACTACAAGCTCAGGCTAGAAGTAAACAGAAGACAATGTACTTATGTGTTTCCCCCACCACCAAGGCTCTCCCACCCATGTCATACATCATTAGCCATGCTCCAGCCTGCAGTGGAAATGACCTCACTTGGCAGGAGCCTTGGGCTCCATACATAGCTCAGCGCTTCAGGAAAAGACTTCTATAGGAAATCCCAGCACTTGGGAGGCTGAGGCAGGAGAATCACTGTGAGCTTGAGGCCAGCCTGAGATACACAGCAAGTTCGAGCCCAGCCTGGATCACATAGCAAGAACTTGTCTCCAAAAAACAAAAAAAACAAACAAAAAAAGAGAGAAAAGGAGGGCTCAGCGGGACTGAAAGTGCATCCTGTCATGAAGTTGAAAGACTAAAGTGAGAGTCCAGTGCCAATGATGTGAATAAAGTCACCCACTCAACCTGAGCTTGGGTTTCCTATCTGTGAGGTGGGCCAATGCCCTCCACAGGTGACAGACAGTACAGTTAGAAGCATGGGTGGACTGGGTGTAGGGGTGCACATACATAGATACCAGCTATGAGTCAGAAGCAGAAGGATTACAAGTTCAAGGCCAGCCTGGACAACTTAGAGAAACGCTGTCTTAAAATACAAATTTAAAAGGGCTGGGGGTATAGCTGAGCACTAGAGTGGCTGGCGTGCATGAGGCTGACATCCCCAGTACTAGAAAAATAATAAAAGCCATGGGCAGGTGTGGATTACACTCTAGTTGTGTGATCTTGGGCTGGTTATTTAATTCCTCTGAGCCTTGGTTTCCTGACCTGTGAGAATGAGAAGAGTACTTAGGGACTCATCCAAGAGTGTTGAGATCTTAAAACAGAGCGTGACACACTGGTTAAGTGTTGGCTCTTCTTTTTTTTTTGGTACTGGGGGTCAAACTCGGGAACTTGTGCTTTCAAGGCAGGCAGTGGAACCACTGAGCTAAATCCCCGGCCCAGTGTTGGCTTTTCTTATCAAGCAAGAAATGAATATGAAAACCCCATAGGGCAGCTAGAATGTACAGAAGATCCCTGCAAGTGAACAAAAGTCCTCTTGGCTCTACTAGAGAAAAATGTCAGTCTCTTGAGAGGTGTGACCCAAGGACAGTGAATGTTTTGTTCACGGTCATTCAGCCAGCAACTCTAAGGTGCATGAGTGTTACAACACACAGAGGACATGGGACTGAGAAATTTATTAAAGCAATTTTATGTAAATTTCATGTACATTTCATCACACTTTAAATTAGTTCACTTTTAGGGCTTCTGTGACTCTGAAGTGTCAAAGTAACATATCAAGTTCTCCTTTTTTTTTTTTTTTGGTACTGGGGATTGAACTCGGGACCTTGTGCTTGCAAGGTAGGTGGCAGCACCACTGAGCTAAATCCCTGGCCCTGAAGTTCTCCTTTTAAGATATAAGTCATTGCTTGGTAATTTATCAGTCTGGAATTTTTTTAATGCATCAGGTTTAGAAGAACCTCAGATTATTCCCAACATTTACCAATAAATTTACTACATAACAGTGACAATAATAATAAAAGATATCATTTGTTGAGCATCATATTCCAGAAAGTTTCCTTATATTTCTTCCTTAACTCTATGACCACCATGCATGTAATAGTATCCCCATTTTGTAGCTGAAGAAGCTGAAGTTTAGGAAAGTTTGGTCATTTGCATGTTTTGCAACAGATTTGAACCCAGGTTTGCCTTAAGTAAATTCTTTTCCCCTTTACCACATTGTCCTCCTTCATACTTATTTGACATTAAGGAACCCCTAAAGCCAACAGCTGTAGAGAAAGAAATTAAAAACATGCTGCCAATATTTCATTTCTAATATATAAATACACTTCATAAAAGAATTACTGTCCCTGCCCTTGGCTGCGGCTGTGTTTTTCTTCTGTTGCTCCAATCATTTGCACAAATAGGAAGCTGCACATTAGGCAAAGGTCACATGGAAGGGAATGGATAATGTAATTTGCAAAATGAGAACTGTTATGAATAGCTGGTATTTTTAGAGTGTTATCTTTCTTGTTCACAATGGGTTTGGGTTTCCAGCCTGATGAAATGTAAATTTTTAAGGTCTGAGGGAAAACTAAGAGATGGGGAAAGTGAGGCCAAGAACAGGGGGCAGATAGAAGGTTCACTCATAAACCCTGCCTGAGAGGTTGGGAGAGAGGACAGCTGTGGTGCCTCAGAGCCCCAGCCGGACAGCTCTACCCACAGCTTTGCCTCCTTTGAGGGCTCCTCCAAGACAAAGTTACTCCCATTGGGATTCTGGTCACCTACGTGGGCTGCAGGATTTGTAGGGAAGGTGTGGCTCCATCCATACCTCAAATGGGTTCCGAGAGCTGCCCAGCCATCCCACTATGACTTGCTGGTATGTGTATTTTCCTACTTTCCCGTGACTCTCACCTTCTACTCTCTCCTGAAACCTTCTTGGGCCCCTGGAGGGCTCACTCTCAACAGATGACCTTGTCTTCTACCTTATGGAGAAAATGTAAGCTGCCCGTTAGACAGCAGCCTTCTCATCTTCGTTCACCAGATGCCCAACTCACTGTCTCAGTCTTTTCCCCTGGTTAGCTTTCTCCACCTTCCTAAGGTCTTTGTTCCTTTAGCCAAAACTTTGCTCTTTGGTTATCCCTTTTCTCTCACCCTGTCTTCTGGATCCTATCTGTGTTCAGATGTGGTTTCATTCCTAATCCACTTCTTTGGGCAAGTGGTTCCTCTCTCCTTCATTCCTTCTCCTAGTGAAATGATGCACCCATGTCTCTACGTTTTGTTTTTTTTTTTAACCTTCCCTCTTTACTAAGCCCATTATAGTTGCCCTGGCTCGCACTATGACCTCAAGGTTCCTCTTGACCTCTGTATTTTCAAATTTAATAGGTACTTTGCCCCATCTGACTCAGATTCCTAGAAGACAGTGAGACATGGGAGCTCTCCCTCCCTGACACACTCTTCTCTCCTGGCTCCCAAGATTCCATGGTCTCCTGGCTTCCTCCCACCTCTCAGGCTTTACTTATTGGCCTCCTTTGTGGGCTCCTTCTTCTCCACCTGCACTAAGTGCAGAGATACCCAGGAATTGGTCCTGGGTCCTCTTCTCATCTTTCCTCTTGTTGCCCCGAGACAATCATTCATTTCCTTGGCCTTAATGAGTATCTCTAGCCACAGGCCTTCTCTGCCTCACTTTGGTTTTTTTTTATTAAGTTTATTGGTATATTTTAGATGTGCATAATGATCACATTCATCATAGGGTTCTGCCTCACTTTGGTGTGTCCAACTTTTCACTTGACATCTCTGCTTGGACTCCTCATGTATGTCATCCAAAAGTTAATCCCTGCTACACTAACTCTTTTCTGCTCCTCAGACATCCCAGCACTTTTGTGTCTCCGACTTTTAAGGTGTCTTGCATCCTCTAGCTGGGGTGATCTTTGTGTGCCCTGGATATGGCTGACCCGCCATCTTTCAAGCCTGTGCTTTAATGGCAGCACCTCAGAGACTCCTTCTTGGCCATTCACTCTAACCACAGTCACTCTTTATTATTTGATGTCACTGAATAGTTCTTTCATAAATGTTATTATCTATAATTAATTACATTCTTTCTTTCTCTTTCACTTCTGCTAAGCTCCACATTGGCAAAAAAAATTTTTTTTCTTATTTTCTGATGTGTCCTCAGTACATTATAATGTGCCTGTGTCTTGGCTAAACTCGGTAACTATTTGACAGGATGAGAGGGCATTCTGAGGCATAAGATAGACTACAGAAAGGGATGACCCAGAATATTTTGGGCTCTCCTCATTTTCCTTTTTGCAACTCCTAATATTTGTCCACTCACAGCAGCTCCAGGAATAAGAATTAAAGTAGATTTGGGGACATGAGGAGAAGGGATGCTGGTGTAGTATTGTGGTGTAGGGAGGTTTCATGAAGTAAGGCTTTATAAAATCTTGTCTCAAGGTGGAAGGATTTTTAAAAGTTTGGAAGCTACTGAAAGAACCTGGGTTTCCTCCTTCCCAATCAGAAATCAGGCAAAAGACGGTTTTGTTTTCAGTCACCCAACCTCTCCCTGAAATGATGCCCATTGCTTCCCTCTTCTCACTAGTGGAAAGACCAGTGGGGAGTCAGACTGTGAAGGCCCAGCTCCCGTGCGGCCTCCAGTTTCCCTGGAGGTCAGCCAAGAGACCAAGGCCAGGATGGAGGAAGAAGCCTACAATAAGGGGTGAGTCAGACCTTGGCCACCCAAGGGCACCTAGCAGGTTTTAGAAGATACCTTCCCACGCCCTGTCCTGTTTCCTAGAATCTTTAGGGCAACAACGAGTGACCCCAGGGCCTCCTTGTGCCAGGAAAGAACTACAGAGGAAAGAGTGAGACTGTTCCACAGGAAGGACAGAAGGAAGCAGGGTCAGAGGGTGTGGTTAGACAATAATTAGACTGCTCTCTTTTAAGCTCAAAGCCACAAGAACATCACTACCCAGAATGGTCTGGAAATCAGGGCCCTCGGGTAGGTTCCTCTTGGCGGTGCCTGAGGTTTCCTGACACGTGTGCCATGTGGTCACATTGCTGCCAGCAGTGCCCACAGGCAGCTGCAGCTCTGCTTCTTAGAACCGCCCTGGGTATCCCTTTCCTATAAACCAGAGTCCCCTTGTCTAACTGAACTCTCATAGCACCTAAGGGCCAGCTGTCGGTTGCACTGAACAGGGGTCCAGGCCCAGGCCTCAAGGTAGAGGACCACCTCCCATCTTTATGGTCCCCGTGGCTCCTGAGAGAGACGCAGCTTCCTGCCAGCCAGAACCTGGAGTGCGTCTTTGTGGCAGTCAAACTCAGTGATGGGGGTTGCTCCAGCCAAACTGCTGGAGTTAAACATCCAGCTGTAGGACAAATAAAGAGAGTATGTTTAGGGTAATACTAATCCAGAAAGAAGGAAGTCAGAAGGGTCTCACTTAGAAAGCCCATAGCTCTTGTCTTTTCACCCATAGCTGTTGCCTACCCAGAATGCATGGGGGTCAAACTCCCCCACTGGCTTTGTGAACGTCTATTAAGTACCTTTCTAGATTGAGCTCTGGCACTTCCAATAAACATCCCAATCCCCCATGCGACAGTGGTCACCTTCTCTATTGTACAAGATTATACAGAAAGTAAATACAATCTTATCTCTACAGAATGTTTTGTAGAATAAGAACTCAGTCAGGAGACTTTGTCCCACATTTTTTCCCTGTCAGTGTGTCACACTGTCACATAAACAGGAAGGATGACTGAGGAGTGAGGGGAAATTGTACTGACATGGGCCATGTAGGGGTTCAGTGGAGCTTCCCAGCTTTTTCCTGTTGTGTGGGACCATAGGAAGTGCATCATTATTGGAGGTGCTTAAGTTCCCCCCTCTAGGAATTCAGGAATAGATGCTCCACAACTGGCCCTTTCAGATTCATTTGTTCCTTTTTGCCCTCCAGATATCAGGAAGGTTTAAAAAAGACCAAAGAACTTCAAGACTTGAAGGAGGAGGAAGAAGAACAGAAGAGTGAAAGTCTTGAGGAACATGAAGAGGTAGAAGAAACTGAGGAAGAGGAAAAGGACCAGAGAAACAGGTGGGAAACCTGCATTTGGAGCCCTTGACATTGTTGAAATGAGTTAAAATTGATTTCATTATTAAACTGCACAAAATGTCTGGAAATGCCGGTCCAGGGAAGCAGTGAGTCCAGGGCGTAAGTAAGTGGCCAAGAGAAACCAAGAGAGCCCACATGTGGGGGAGAAGGTAGAGGAAATCAAGAACCAAAAGAGTGAACAATGAGACATTTGCCAGAGTTGAGGGTCATAGGCAGGGCAGACAGCAATCAAGAACCCTAAGGAGCTGAGAAAGTGAAGGATAGTTGGTGGCCTCCCCACCCAGCCACGGTCAGTTCATTCCCCAGCCACCCATGAAAGAGCCAAGACCCAGGCTGCCTGGCTGAAGCCCCAGAGAGCGTTTCTTACAAGACCAGGAATAGCGCCCAGGGAATACATGGGGTTGGAGCAAACTAAGCTCAGTGGCAAAGGTGAATCTCCACCGGGCCCCTTCCATGCTGGCCACACAAGCTTGGCCAAGCTTCACTTCACATTGGAAATATTTGTGTTATTTAAAAAAAAAATACTATCTATTGGGCCAGGGATTTAGTTCAGTGGTTCTGCCACCTGCCTTGCAAGCTCAAGGTCCTGAGTTCGATCCCCGGTACCAAAAAAATAAATAAATACTATCTATTTCAAGTGTATTTTTCTCTAAATCAGGGAGGAAATATAACAAGTAGACTCAGACCATACACAGCCCACCCACATCTTGTCCCATTTGTAGTCCTCCTTAGCCTTTAGCATACAAAATAGTAGAAATAACCTCATTGAGTTCCAGGATATTTCATGTAATGGGGTCTCAGCCCTACTAGGCTAGGATTACCTCACAGAAGTATGTGCTTAGGGACAGAATGCACTGGTCCCCTTAGAAGGGGTATACTCTGCCCAGTAGATATCACATGAACACCCTGGATTCTCAGGACAGCACTAAGTTCATATATTTTTCTTGTATTTGTACATTCAAAGCACAAATCTTGAATTTTGATTTTTTAAAGTGTAGTTATAGCAACCTTAGAACACTTTATTAAAATCTCTGCTCTTAGGTCCCCAGGCTATCTTGGGTATGGGGCAGATGTAGGCAAAATGATTAATTATCTAACCAGCTGCTGAACATGGAAAAGGGTATGTATCTGTACCCCTTTGCTGGCAATAACTCACATGCAAAGAATAAAGTCAGATCAAAAGCAAGATGACTATTCCTCAAAACATACAAGAGCCATCCACAGAGCCCACTGTGGAAAATTCAATCAGAGGAAGGGATCTCAGCTTGGCTAGGTCAACCTCATTATTTAAGGGAAGAACTATCAAGGAGAACTAGGGAAAAATTCATCCTCACTGGGAAGAAGCCTGTGCTGGGGTATACTACCTTCCAAATGGAAGAACCTCAATTCTAACAATGAAAGCACAATTCTTACCCCAAGCAGCTGGATCTTGTTCTCCTTACGTCTCACCTTCATCTTAGGGTCCTCTGCTCTTGTTTTTCAAGCCACCACACTTCCTTCCTCCCGTTAATGTCATCAATCCCAAGCCTGGAAAGAAGTCCTTCCCTTGGTACCCTGAATACAGCTAAGACAGGCTGGAAGTTCTAACACTTCCAAACACTGAGAAAGAACAAAAGAGAAATAAACAGACAGGGAGAGGGAGAACATGAAATATAAACAGACTGATTTAAAAAGCACAGGCCTTATCTTACTAATTTGGTCTCAGGCAATTGGCAGCTCCCTCCTCTCATGAAACCCCAAGAGAAATAAGGCTTTGGCTAGGTGCCTTTCTGCCCAACTGGTCATCGGCACTTAGGAATGGCTGCCTGTAGCATCATCACCCAAGGGAGTCCTATTGTTCCTGCTGATCCTGAGAGGCTTCATTCTGTCTCCCAATTTTTTCTTCCTCCCACATTTACTTTTTGGTTTTGAGAATATACCTGTTCCTCAGGTGACAGGAGGCTTGAGCATAGCCCTCAGAAGTGTCCTCATCCTTCCACAGAGGGGTGTGGCCTCACCTTTTCAGGTCTAGCAGTGTGGCACCATAATCTCTTTAAGGGCTGACATTGCTGTCTTATAAACTGCCTGCTGATGATCATAATGTCCTCACATAACGACCTCACATGCCACCGAAACCAGACTGGGTCTGAAAGCTTTCGTCTTCAATGCCATGCGGTCCTTATCTGCTTGAATCTCAGACACAGAGTTGCCTGCAAGCACCTCACTCAAACATGAGTCCCTGTGAAAGTTTGGCACCTCACTAACAACAAAGACTGCAGTTATCAAAAGTTCCATGTCCTACTTAGGGCATTTTGAAAACATTGTGCTAAGCCTAGTACCTGGCCCTTATTTAAGAGATTCAACATCAAACATCTTCGGTCTGAATTTCTTCTCTGTTATATGCAATAATGTAATCTGTTATAAATATTGCTGTCTGGAACATTCAGTTTAAAGGAATTTTGGGTGACTCAACCCAACATCTTAACAATGTTAAAATAGATAAGAGTCTTCTGAAATTCACATAATCATTGAACAAGTGGGACTCATATGTACAACATAAAACTTGGTATTTTCTCCCACCACCTGTTCAAAGCTGCTCTACAGGAATAAAATGATATTTAGGCTAGGCCTTTTACTTTTCCAGTGACTGTCAAAAAACAGAAGTTCACTCAACAACCAAAAATTGAATTCTATTTCTAACCTAATTTTATTTCTAACCTCTTTTATAAGCTAGAAATGGATGATCAAGTAAGAGTCACAAAGCCAGATTTCGGACTCCTCCTTTGTAGTCTCACTTAAAAGTAGATTTAGAGATGGATTCTCCTCACCCTAGAGGCCTGTTTTGAGCATGGAAATACAGCTGCAAAGAATGATTACATTTTGGCATTCAAATATATCTAAATATGCTAAGTGGAGCTGAAAGAAAATAAGCTTGCATTTCTGAGCTCTCCCTAACAGTTGTGAAAATACCCAATGATTTTCACATCAGCTAGTGTTCTTGCTTTTTTCCTTTGCTTAATTGTGCCTAAAATGACCTGATTGGGTTCCCACATGGCTAAGAAACCAATTGCTGTTCCTGCAGCCTTAGCATCCAACGCAAGCACTCTAGCATCCTTTCTAAGGAAAGCATTTTTTTGATTTTCAGTCCATGGTAAGCCATCCATTCTACTAGCTCTGAATTGGTAATTCCTGCTTCTCAGCAGCTGGCCTGCGTGCTGCAGCGGCTGTATGAGCCTCTGAGTCTTCAAGGAGCTCTTCCAACACTTTTCTCATCTCTTTGGTTTGGTAATCTTCAATATTCTTATTGTACATATTCTTAAAAATCAGGGATTAGAAACAGGAGGAAATTCTAGCTTGATGAAGGTGTCCAGTGTTTCTCCAGAGAGATACAGATCTCTGACCAAATGTCTTCTCACTAGCCCACAAAGAGAGAGGATAGGTCAAAAAGCAGTTGGGAATGAAGCAATAGGAAAGGCAGTTGGAAAAGCAGCAAAACTGATGGGGGAAAGAAGTACAAAGCAGAGGTGAAAGGCAAGGAAGGAAGGAAAAGATGAGACAAAGAAAAAAAGGAAGGAGAAATTAGAGGATGAATAGAATGAGGTTGAAAAAACATTTTGAATGAACCACATAGAGGTTAATAGTCTCCTGGTTGCCTTTGGGGTGGTGTGAAGCGAGCCAGCCCTTCAGGTTGACCTGATCCATTGTCATTTATCACTGGAAATCAATTTACTTCTGAGAGTTTAGCACAGTTCTTCCACTGTGGATGCAATTAAAGGTAGACCTGAGAATAAGTATTATGCATCTTAGTACTGAGTCAGGAGAAAAGTTGGAACTTGGAACTGATCACTAATACAGCTAAATGCAGAGAAGGTGTGGTCTTGTCTGGATCCATGAGAATACGGATCAGCCAACCTGATAGCACAGGTTCAAGAAGGTGCAGATATCAGTAATCCTGCCATAAGTAGATGAGGAAATGATGAATGGATGAGTATTCTAGACCTAGATGAGTGTGGCTCCCACCATCAAGGCTATGGACTGGTGGCATCAAAAATCACCAGGGCAACTTTATAGATTCTTGCATCATAATTTTGGAGATTATCATTTTGTAAGATAGGAGTATTTCAAATTGCTGCTAAGTGATTCTCTGTACTGCTGAGTTTAAGAACCATTCTCTAGACAGCATAGAAGGTAACCCCAGAAGGGCTGGGATTTAGCTCAGTGGTTCCACCACCTGCCTCGCAAGCACAAGGTCTGAGTTCGATCCCTGGTATCAAAAAAAAGGAAACCCCAGGAAGAGAAGTATGGCTTCAGGAATTACATATGTAAACACACTAAAATCCTCCACCTATTTTTTCATTGACAGCAAACTTGAACAATTGGTCCATTTCTTACAAGTCATGTATCCTAAACTCTGTCGGCACTGGCAAGTGATCTGGATGATGGCTGCAGTGATGCTGATCTTGACTATCGTGCTGGGGCTCTATAATTCCTATAAGTCTTGTGTGGAGCAGTCTGATGGGCCCCTTGGAAGATCCACTTGCTCCACAACCCAGAGGGACTCCTGGTGGAGCTCAGGACTCCAGCATGAGCAGCCTACAGAGCAATAGGAAGCCTAGTCAATGACTCCTAGTCAATGCCATGCTCCGGTATATTCAGTCCCCAAGTATAATGAATGTGTCAGGCCCAGGTGTGAACATGATGCCGCCCCCATCACGGAATGAAGAGTGCTTCTCTTCATGCTTGGCACCTCTGGGGAGCTATTCATACACAGTAACATGATGTTCTTGGAGGATCAACAAAACTGCCCTGACCAAGCCTCCTGTGGACCAAGAAGTGACCTACACCAAGGAGCTCTACCCAAGGGGATGGTCTCTTGTTCCTAGCTCAGCCGGCTGGGGAGAACTGAAACACCTTCAGGGGGGAGGAAAGTAAGAAGCTCACTCTCCCCCTTTTCCTTTCTGCAGTTGGTTATCAGAAGGAATTGTGCTTAACAGCTAGTACGGACCCTAAGGATCAGACCTGGAATTTGGAGTCTCAACATGAATATCTTCCCATTTCTTATCTCATTTTCCATGACTATCTTACAGCCTCCCCCTCCCCCCTTGGGAATCAGTTTCTTTTCACAGAGTAGGAAAGTTTTCTCAGAAAAACATATAGCTCAGTGCTTGAAATGAAATGGGAAAATGTGAATTAATATATACGAATCTGTGCACATACAGGCAAGACAGACATACTACACAGCTGTGCACATGTAGAGAACAACCCTCTGAATGTGTGCTCCAGGTATGTGCTGTGGGTAAGTGAGATGCGTGTCAAGCCCGCTCAGAGAGTTTCACTAAGTGCAGGGCAGTCCAAGCACTGTACAGTGAGCTCTCTACATGAGTGAAGATGTTTGAAAAACACAGAAACCCCATGGCTTTCATGGCAAACGTGCTGGTCTCCATTTCAAATGCCAAGTCCAAACTGCTGTACAGCACAGTCTATTTCCAATTAGTTCTCTCCCTTTGAAAGCAGTCGCCCCACCTCTGCCATGGTGCACATTCAGCTCAGCCTCTCATTCTGTGTGGTGTTCACATGCACCTTAGGGCTTCAGTTCAAATGGGATTCCCAGCCACGGGTATGCTTAAGAATAATCCCAGCTAGTCAGCATTAAATGAAGAAGCACATCCCCTCTCCAGTTTGACCCCTCTCCCCACCTTTTCAGCCACTGTCTTCATTCATCCCTCATCAGTTTTGGGGGCAGGGGATGTTGGTTTCTGTATGGGTTCTGTTGTGGTTGCTTTTCTTTTTCTTTTGTTATTGTTTGCTTCTGCTGCTGACACTCATATAGAACTTACTACTAACCAAGCACTGTTCTCAGTATCCTGTAGGTATTAATGCACTTAGTCCTCAAGGAAATCCTCTGCAGTGGATATTTCTTATCACATTTTCAGATAAGGAGACTGAAGCACAAAAAAGACCTGGGGACACACAGCTAGCAAATCATGGAGCTGGCTCCAGGGGCTGCACTCCTCGCCCTGCCCTGAAGGACTGCCTCTCCTTCCATGGTCTCCTAGCTGGATGCCTCCCATTCCAGTCTCCTTTTACCAACTGGCCCCTCAGCTCTCCAAACCACCTCTGCTTCCTGAACTGAACTGTTTTCCTCCCATCTCAGTACCTCTACTCCTAGTTTTTCTCTTCGAGACACTTTTGAGGACCACGTAAAAAACTGCAGACCTTCCATACAGACTTTCAGGGCATCCTTCCACATTCCCCCAAGAATGGGACACACCCTCCTCTGTGCTTCCTGGGACTTGTCAAGTATTTTTGGCATTGACTTGTACCTATAATCTATCACTGTAACTTATTTATATATCTGTCTCTCTGAGCATTTTTCCTCAAAGACAAGAACCATGTCTTACCTATCTCTTGGGTAGGTGCCTAACGTGGTGGCTGATGCTTGGGCGGGTGTCATTAAATGTTGGTCACAAGAACAAGCAAACATTCCAGGTGGTGGAGAGCACTCTGGGACAGCTGACATTTTGTGATTTTTCCCAATACTGGCACCATCCTCACCCCATCTCCATGAAAAAGACATCTTTCTTGATCTCAGCTTATTCTAGTATTTCTCAGTCTACTCTGAGAGGTTAAGAGTGGAACCAGGCTAGCAGCAACACCATTTCCAAGCTCAAAGATTGGGCTCAATGTAATTATTCCCTTCAGGGAGACCCCCCTACACTAGGTCCCACTTTAAAACTACAGGTTTAATGGAGGGGTATCATTTCCAGTGGCTGGAAAATGGCTGAGAGAAGTGCCAGGGTTGACCAAGGATGTGCCATTAAGGTCAAGAGGTGCAGATCAAGGCAGAGAGATTTTGGAGACATGAGTAGACAGTTTACCTAGACTCTCCCAGGGGCATGTATAAAACTGAAGGAGATTGAGCTTCATGAGCCCCCCAGACACAAGGACAGGCTATGAGTGGAGATACAGAGAGAGTGGCCATGGGGCTGGACTCTAAGTGGCCAATCTTAGCCTCTCTGAAAGAAGAACTAGGCTGAGCTGGTCCTTTGTCGACTTGGCCACAAGTTTCCCACCCCTGTTTCCAAGTGAGATAAGGAGAGAACAGGTGCAGAGAGCTCCTGCACTGCCAGTGCCCTCATAGAAAGGCCTGAGAGAACTCTGGGCAGAGGCCTTTACCACACTACTCCATTTGAATAAGAGAAGTCGAAGAAAAGGACATCTCCAAGAGGGAGTATAAGAGTAGCTGCATTTACAAGGGCTGAAAGCAAAAATCAACCTGACGCAGTTGCAGCTGCTCCCAAAGCAGTTGTGAAATGGGAATAGGCCCTGTATCTCCAATGTGACAACAATCTGAAATAAAGTTCCCTTAAATTGCTTCTGAATTCTGACCTTTCTGCTTAGCCCAAGAAGTCTGGTTGCCTACTTGAAATTGCAAAGGGATACTGTATGTTATTTGCACCATTGTTGATGTCACCTCCTAAAAGGACCTTCACTTTCTGGCCACCACAAAGCCATATGTATTGCTCTTCGTGTACAATCTGACAGAGTGAATGAAGAAGGAGATGCTGGGTTTGCATATCACCGGCTGTCAAATCTTAATGTTGTTAAGCCTCACACAGATGTGCTAGCATCAACTGTAGAGTGTCACATACTTGAGTTTGAAAATAAAAGCACCTTTCCAAACCTTGAGTATCAGCTAAATGCCTCTTCATTCTGTAGAGTTGAGCCACAATCTTACTCCAACCCTGAATCAGGTCCCTTTGGATGTTTGTGCCTCCCAGAGCCGAGCAGGGGTCCCCAGCCACTGGATCGCTGTACTATAGGCTACTCACAGAAGCCGGTCAGTTCCTCTCGTTCATTTCTTGTGCATTCCAGGACCTAGTTTCCTGTGCCTTCTGATCCATGATTTCCTAAAATATATTTTGCTATGATAAAGACTACTGAGTTTTAAACAATTCTATTTCCACAGCTTGCCTGCAGTTTTGGTTTTCTTGGAGCTAGGCACAGTGGAATGCAGTCCTTGGTGATCTAGTTCCCTAAAGCAAAATGTCCTGTCCAATACGCCACACTCTCTTTCTTCCCTGCTCTGCCTACCAAAATTGAAGAATTCTATTGAGGTCTATGAAACTTAAGAAATGGTAGAACTACAGGATGGAACAGGATCTTTGCTGAGTACCTACCACATCAAACTGTGACATGACCAAGAAGTAAAATACAAGCATGCTAAGTGACTGAGATTCAGGAATGTTTGTTATAGCAGCTAGTCTATCTTGGCTAATGCATATCTTTGAACCCAAAGTGTGCTTTAGTAACAAAATTTCCATAATAGAAGAAAGTGGCTGCAATGATTAAGCTTGATTGTGTCAACTTGATTGGTTTGGGAGCAGCCGGAGATTGGTGAAGGACACTTTTGTTTGTGTTTGGATGGGTCATGGAGGCATGTCCTTGGGTATCATGTATGGTTTCTGGCCCCTTTCACTCTGGCACTATACTCCTGTTCTGCTTCCTGGCCACCATGAACTAAGCATCTTTGCTCCCCACACCCTTCTGCTATGACACTTATGCCTCATAGCCAGTCTTAAACCATGGACTGAATCCCCTAAAACTGTGAGCCAAATTAAACCTCCCCTAAGTGGTGGATCTTAGGTATTGTGTCCCAAAAATGGGAAAGCTAGCTAAACAGTGACTTAGCAGTAAAGAGTCAAAAATAATCTTATATCAAGGTCTGGAAAGATGGTGATCCATGTTGTAAATAAAACAAAACGGTTTGATAAAGTCTTACCCACAATACTTTGAAAGACAGCCCATGGATAGCCCATCACTGGAAGGGTGGTTAGAGGGAATGAAGTGTTGGAGTATGTAAACCTCTCTTGGTCATATGTATCGCTCCTTGTGTACAACCTGACAGAGTGAATGAAGAAGAAGAAACTGGAATTGCATATCACTGGCTGTCAGTTGTTAAGCCTCACACAGATGTGCTAGTATCAACTGTAAAGTGTCACATACTGAGTTTCAAAATAAATCACCTTTCCAAACCTTGAGCAGCAGACAAATATCTCTTCATTCTATGAAGCTCAGCCACAGTCTTACTCAAGATAATATATATAAAAAAAGAACTTCAGGAAGAATTGGCTATTTGGAAGAAAAATGAAAAATAATATAGAGAATTCAGAACTTTGAAGGATTAAAGAATTAGACTCCTTCTAAATCCCAAACAGAGTAATAAAATCTTTGAGGAAAAAAGGAACTGATAAAATTTCTCATGAACAGATCAACTGAGACTTACGGCAAAGAATAGATTTAGGATGTGACCCTTCCATTTGTGGCTCCAAATGGATTTTGGGGCGGGGCGGGCACCTGGCACAGGGAAAGCAAAGTACATCTCGAGAATAATGACCGAGAAAGGATTTGGGATATGATTACTGCACACGGAAGCAAATAGATCAGAACACTAAGCTTGTAAAGGAGTCACATTTACAAAACAACAGAAGCCAGTATTAAAAACTCCTTCAGTTATTGCTCAAGTTATAAAACAATTTTGGGAATTCTCGATTTAAACCAGCAGGAAGTAGACTACAAAAGCAATGCTTTCTATAAGGATGGCATACTCCTTAATACCTGCTTCAAATGTGTCCAAGGAAGATTATGTATAATGAAAGGTCTCCCAGAGGGAAGGCAAGAGCAATAGAGAATAGTGGGCATGGGAATTTCTCCCAGAAACAGAATCAGAATCTGATCAAGGACAGGTGACTCTGCTAGACAGAATTTCTGAAGTGACTCTCCAAAGATGTCCCATCCCAACCAATGGAGCCTTTGAATATGAGATAGAACTTTTATTTTTATGTTACATTAGATGGTACAGCTGACCTTAAGATAGGGAGATTATCCAAGTGGGGCCAACATAGTCACATGAGTCTTTAAAAGCAGAGAGTTTGCTCTGGTTAGTGGTAAAAGTAGAAGTCAGAGAGGGGAGTATGAAGAGGACTCAGTGGATCATGCTGCTGCTTTGAAAATGGAGGGAAACAGGTACCTCATTTCTACAACCTCTAGTAAGTGAATTCTGCCATCTATGTGCTTGAGTCTGGAAGCAAATTCCTTCCCAGAGCCTCCAGGTAAGAGCCCAGCCCAGGTGACACTTTGATCTGTCTGATGAGAACCAAAGAAGACCTATCAGAGCCCACCCAGACTTCTGACCCACAGGAACTGTAAGATAATATATAAGTATTGTTTTAAGCCACTAAGTCCATAGTAATTTGGTTTTTTGTTGTTGTTGCAGTTGTTGGTTTTGGGGGGATACCGGGGATCAAACTCGGGACCTTGCATTTGCAAGGCAGGCGCCGGAACCACTGAGCTAAATCGCTGGCCAAGTCCATAGTAATTTGTTATACAGCAATAGAAAACTGATATGATGGTTGTATTATTCAGATTTTCATCACTATAACAAAATACTTGACTCAAGCTACTTATGAAGAAGAAGAGATTTATTTAGCTCATAGTGCTAGAGGTCCAAAGGTGTGGTGCCTGCATTAGCTCAGCTTTGGCAAGAACCTCATGGTGAATGGCGAATGACAATGGCCAGAGTTTGTGTTGGAGCAAGTGGTCACATGTCAAGCTAAGAAGCAGAGTGAAAGAAGATGGGTCAGCCTTGCTCTTTGCATAACAACCCTCTTGTGAGAACTACTAAAGGAGTCACATAAGAACTATCTCATACCCCTAATGACCTAGGGACTTTACAACAGGCCCTGTCTCCTGAAGGTTCCATTACCTCCCAACACAACACAACCCTGGAGCCCAAGCCTTTAATCACAATGGACCCTTGGGGAACACTCAACCCCAGACAAGCCAGTCCACGGGAGTATCTCTTCATTGGTATTCTAAAACTACTATGACCAGATGATTGCTATGATTCCTGTTCTTCCCCTTTACACATGGGAAATTTTACTGAGGCCATCAAGGCTCTGCTTCACCATTATGTGGGGGAGGGGAATTGTATACAATTTTTTTAGTTCACAGGTCACCAGATCATAAAGTGCTACAACCAAATCTGAGAGAGAAGACTGACCCTAGTGTGAAGATCATAGATTTAAGCTGGACAGGACTTTGGGCTACTTCCCTTGAAAATAAAGTACAGTGGTGGTTCTGTCCACAAATTTAATTCTTTCCATGGAGAATTAAGTTTGTGAACTGAAGTACCACTGTACTATATTCTACCTGTGGGAGGAATAGTGAACCCAATATGGGTGACCAGAAGGGTAAACTGTGTCAGAGACCACTCGATGTTCACCAAATTATTTTTCCTTTTACTCAGAGCACATGACTAGATTATGATCCCTTGGCAGTTAGGTAGAAACATGTGACAAAGTTCTGGCTGATGGACTATTGATGGAAGTGATATATCCCAGGCCTGGCCCTTAAAACAGTCTCTGGCTTCAGCCTCCTCTGCACTCTTTCTCAATGTGCTCAATGTGAAGATCTTGCAGAGGTACTAGGTGATGGCAGAACAACATGGAGGCTGATAGAGGGAGCCTCTGTCCCTGAATTAACTGTGGCAGTAAAATCTCCCCATTACACATGTATACACCACAATTACCACCAGCACCACCACCACCACCTGTCAGCCATTGGATTGTGACGTGAACAAACTTCTAATTTATTAAGGCATTGAGATTTGGGGTTATTTGTTTCAGCAGTTAGACTATATTGACTAATACATTTGCCCACTTATATTATTATATTATATTATTATTTTAAAAAATAATCCTTGTAAATCAAGTACCACAGAATGATATTGCTATGCTATTTTTAAGTTCATTGAATTTGGTTAACTTCTTCAATAAATGACAAAACTGAGCCCCAGAGAAGTTAAATGACTTGCTCAAGGTCACATAAATTATTACTGTTAGAAGTTAAACTAAAATTTAGATATTATGTTTAATCCAGGGCTTGCTTTTTTTTTTTTTGGTACCAGGGATCGAACTCGGGACCTTGCGCTTGCAAGGCAGGCAGCGGAACCACTGAGCTAAATCCCTGGCCCAATCCAGGGCTTTTTATTCTACCTTATTTCCTTCTTTCATGCTATATTTCAAAATTTCTACAACATTGTCTTAGTTATTGTTCTCGTTGCTAAAACAAAATACCCAAAACCCAAAGTCAAAGGAGGAAAGGTTTATTTTGGCTCACAGTTTGTAGAGGTTTCAGTCCATAGTTGGCTGGCTCCAAGGTAAGGTGTCATGGCAGAGGGGAATCACAAAGAAGAAACAGTCCATGGTGTGGCAGGCAGGAAGCAGCCACCAGCAAGCAGTGAGCCTGCTTTACGACTTCTCCTTTTATATTCCATCCAGGCTATAGGCTTATTGATTGTTGCCACACACATCCAGAGCGGGCCTTCCCATTATCCACACCCAGAACTGTGCTAAACCAATCAGTGAACTAATTTATCACAACCTTAATCCACATTCACACACCTTAGATCCAGCCACCCCACCTATGAGCACATGAGGCTTTAGGGGAACATCTAGATACAAGGCATACGTCTTAGCCATGAGGGCAAACCACTGAAAATCCTGTTGGGAAAACAGCATGTACTCTGCTCATATACAGTGCAGATAACCCTCATATTCCTCAGGTGAGAAGGGTGGAGTCTCTAGTCTATCAGTATACAACAGCAGTTACTAAAGAAAAACTTATATGAAGAACCCCTTTGGTGACACTATGGTAAAGTAAAAAATCCTTTTGTAAAGTGTAAGATGAATAATTTTGAAAATTACATCTTGCATTTTGTAAATATGAACTTTTATATGTTTTTGGTTTCTTTGAAAAAGGTATCCTCTGTAGTGGTGTTGAGATCGCCAATGTATATATGTATATTTTTTAAAAGTCCCGAAGGAAGGCATGGTATTTAAGTGGGCATTTACTTTCATGACCCTTAAAATCATTTCCCTATATATTAAAAGTAAATGCAACTGAGGAGGGGGAAAAAATCGCCGATTGTGAGAGGGAAAGAAGTGCAAACCATGCTTAATCTCCTTTAGAGACAGACATTCTTAGGAATAAATGAATGAATGGCTCCGTAAGCAATAACAAAGCACATGGGAGAACTGAGCCCCCAAGGCAGGCCAGGGGCAGGGAATAAGGGAACTGAGAAAACTTGCAGCTCTGCTATCTGCCTTCCTCACTTGTGTGTTTTCTGAGTCAGCATTAGCTAAATTTTCCAGAAAGCCATCCACAAAGTACAGCCTGGGCATTCAAGGGACGTCACTCATTTTCCCCAGTGACCTTGACAAGTCACAGCTTGAAAGCAGGGAAATCCGGATGTCTCTGTTATGAAGTAGAGCAGTTTTACATATTTCCAGAACTCTCCATCCAGCCCGGTGATTGAGCATCCATCTCCTTTACTGCCTGTGCCTGTGGCCATCTGCAGTGCCTTCTCGGCTCCCAGGACTCTGCACAATGACCAAGTGCGGCAGCCTGGTGTTGCTTCTTGCCACCATATGGACCACAGGACTTCTGGTCCAAGGTTCTGTCCAAGTAAAAGGTAGGTTTCTCACCAGATCTGCAAGCTGAGGTAAGGCAAGGCCTTGGAAACTGTCCTGTGCCCACTACAATCTTAACTATGGATTTTGGGGAACAGAGGCGGCCCTCAAGATTCACGGAAGATCTACTTGGTAGTATTGTTTAGCCAGAAATGTTTTTACCATATTGTCAACTTCACCAAAATGATTTATATTTACTTTTACATCATTTTGACTTTTATTTTTTGTTATGGAGTACTTTAATAATAATATTTTGAAATAAAACATTGACAAGAAATAATATTTTAAAAATATCTCATTCAAGAAGGAAACTATGATTGTGAAAAATTTAAAGCAATGACTAAGCCTCAGAAAAATGGGTAACTTCCAGTAAATATTGACCTATTTTATGTTTTTAGAAGTGTCTGCATAATTATTTTAATTTCAAGTTCACTATGCTATATATAAATGGAATGCAATGTTTTTAATATGCAGTAAATTAACTGGAAAAAAATTATGAAAATATAACATAAGTTTTGACAATTTGCCATCAGCAAATTTGCCTACCAAAGGAATGACTTAAAGGGATTTCTGAGCTTTTGAGATGCCTAAATGGAAAACTTATTCTGCACTGTTGGAAAAAATATGTAACCACAAATCACTTATTATAGCTTTGGGCAGATGAAAATCTGAGCACTTTTATTAAAGGGGAAATTGTTTATTCCTCTGCTGGAAAGATGCCCTTAGAAATAAAATATGTCAGGAACAGACATTCATTGTTGATTTATAGATTGTATTTTAATTTTACAAGAGAAGTTTGAGTTATATGATTGGGTTTTGGGGGGTTTTTTTCAAATACCAGAACTGTTTCTTTTAAATATACTTGGTCCTCTTTGAAATCCCCCTTATGGGGGGACTATTCCCTTTTCTCCACAATGCTGCTATTACTCAAACTATTTTGGAAACCTCTCCTTGATAATGATTCCAGCACACTCTTTGCACCATTCTCAAAGGCAAATATTTCCTAAGGAGATGAAATTTTTGGAAAGAGCTAAGACTATAGAATCAGGTGGCAATGCAGGTGAGTGGATGGAGATGGACTTTGAGGGTCTATTATGCAGAGAGACAGACAGATACATAGATATCTATATGCGTCCATTTAATTCTCCCAAGAAAACATTTTATAGATGAAAAAACAGACTTAGCGCAGCCCGGTGACTTGCCCAAGGTCATGTAGGTGGTAAGTACTAAACTTGGGACTGAATTCAACTCTGATTCCTAACCATATATTGTTTCTACTATACTTGCTATTTTCTAAGAAATCTTGAGGAAGAGGTCAAAGTCGGGCCCCTATTTTTATCTCTAAATGAAATAGAAAAGCATAAAATGGATAATATTTGTTGAATATCTTCTATGAATCTAGTCTCTGCTAGGTACAAGTTATCTAAGTTAATTCCAAATAAAAATCCTGCAAAGGTGTAATCATCCCCATTTTATAGATGACGATACTGATTTGCCCAGGGTTCTTGTAATAGCCAGTTGATGATAGCAAAAGTAACTAAGGCAAAGTCTATTCACCCAGAATAGGTCCATCACTACTCTAGATATCTACAATAAAGATTAGTTATAACAGAGTAGTAAGAACACTCTGTAGTATAAAGAACAAACCCTCTTTGTAGTCGATTTCCAAAGAAGCAACCATACCAGGTCTGAGTGATAGTAAGCTTTTGAGCTAAAGGAGCCAAATTCCAGAACAATTGGGTAATTGTATGTTTGTCTGTCTGTCTGTCTGTCTTCCCATAGTATATGGAAAGCAGAACAATGTCATAATTAACCTGGGATTTTTTGGTTTGTTTGTTGTTGTTTTTTTTGAGACAGGGTCTCACTATGTAGTTCAGGCTGGCCTTAGCCTCACCATGTAGCCCAGGCTGACCTCAAATTTGCAGCAATCCTCCTGCCTCAGCCTTCCAAGTGCTGGGATTATAGGTGAGCACCACCATACCCAGCAACCTAGGGTTTTAGGCAAAAATGGGTTTGTTCTCCCAATCTGCTTTCTAGTTGCTTTATGTCTTTGGTCTTTAAAAAGTTACCTAATCTCTCTGAGCCTCAGTTTTTCTCTTAAAAGAGGCAGAATTAGCACAGAGTAAGATCAACAGATGACAGGTGTTAGAATTACTATTAGTATTGCTATTAACATTAATGTCAGTACTGGTATGGGTACTAGCACTAGTACACACAGTCATACACAGTTGTTTGACACCCTAGTCATAAAAAGTCATATTGGATGTTGACTCTGTTCTCTCTTGATGAGAGTGAGGTATGAAAGAGAACACAGCCATTCACAAATACTAAACATCATATACACATTCCTTCCTCTTGAGCAGAGCAAGATCACACAGAGAATTTAGAAAGCCTCCTTCAATGTTTCCAACCTTGAAATACCAACCTCAAAAGTGATCAAGGCATTTGAGCATCCATTACACAGAGAGCTGTACAAGCAATTACTTGGAAGATTGGAATGTCCTTTTAGGGATTTTCATAGGTAAAGCCCAACAGGAAAAATGTCCTTGAATATAATCCAATGTGACAATTTCATACAGGTCTATACATCCCAGAACCCAGAGGGATTAAAAGAGCTCCCAAGTCCATTATATTTTGAGTAAAAATATAATGAATATCCTAACAGTTCAATTACCTCAGCTTCCCCAGAAAGATCAATCATCACCAGACTACAACCAAAGCACTTTGATGACAACATAATGGCAATCTGTTATCTATGATTATGTATAGGTGCCTACTATGCCTCATGAGCATTTTTGTGTTAAGCATTCACTTAACCTTTACTATCTACGCAGTAGATAGTGTTACTCTCTATACTATAAATAAGAAAACAGAGGCTCAAAGTGGTAAAATAACTAGCCCAAGGTAACAGCTAGTGCCAGCAGAGGCGAGATCCAAGCCCAGGTATGACTAAAACTCCACTTCCTTTATTTAGTTTCTCTGCCATGCAAGATTTATTGCCTGCCCAGCTCCTCCAGGAACTTCTAAGTAAGCCTGCCCCCCAATGGTCGGTGAAGACCTGACACCAAGAGAGTTTATCTTCTGTAAAAGTGCAAGATTTTCAGCCTTTTCAAAATGAATGTCCCTAACCACATGGGTTTGGAGCAGTGATGGCGAACATTTTAGAATTTTCAACAATACAAACAGCCCACTGCATCACACATACCACAGGTTTGCCACCACTGCTTTAGAGCATTACTAGTATTGCCAGGTATTCTATTAACCAGAGCCCTGAATTCTGTCTTTCTCAGTCTTAGATGCTTTACTTTACAGAGTCCAGAAATGTTGGTGGCAACTGTATCACCTAGACTCTACCCCAAGAACCAGTAGACAAAACCCTCATGTGATAAACGAGGTACCTTAGTGCAGAGGAATAGGATGGACTTTAATCCAGTGAGATTTATAGCTTGGGCCAGAGCAAGCATCTGTCTACTCATCCCTTGTGAGAAATTCCTGGCCTGTGTCTTGTTATTTCTAAATTCAGTTGCAGCCACACAGACCTCACTACTACACTGAGACAATAATTCTCTGCAAAGAAGGACAGCCTGAGGCCTGGAAACAAAGATGACAGCAAACTGAGGACCTAATAATTTTTTTTGCAGAGCTTTTTGCAACGTCATGCAGAATTATGGGAGTTGCCCTTGTGAACAAAAAGGTAGACCCACAGCTGAATTTCACAGAAGCCCAGGTGGCCTGCAAGCTTCTTGGACTAACTTTGGCCAGCAAAGCCCAAGTCGAAGCAGCACTGCTGTCTGGTTTTGAAACTTGCAGGTAAGAAACAGCTGAGTTCACTAACGCTGCCAGAGGTTTTTTGCCCTGTGTCCTTGCTCAGCAATAGACATGGTGCCTTTTAATCATTAGTCTATTCAACTAGTGTATATTCTTTTACAGTTATGGATGGGTTGCAGAACAATACCCTGTCATCCCTCGGATTAACCAGAACCCCAAGTGTGGGAAGAATGGGAAAGGCATCCTGATTTGGAAAGCTAGAGCTCACCAAAAGTTCAGGGCCTATTGTCACAACTCATCTGGTGAGTCGGATTCTCTTCAGTGTGGCATGTCTTCTTGGGCTGTCAGGAGCTCTATGATCTGTCTAGGAAGAGTAACCCTAAGCAGCACAGAAGCAATCATGGCAATGGTCACCTAAGTCTCCCAAGCCTGCCTCTCAGACCAGACTAGAGCGGGCAGTATGCCCCTCAGAGGAAAAAGTTGGGGGAAATATGACAGAATGCTGACCCTAAGGAGCAGACACTCCAGAAAGTTCATTTACCACTTCTACTACCCCTACTTCCTGTAAGACAAACCAAGAAGGGAGGGAACCAAATGTACAGAGGCACATGATGGGTTAGTTATCTCACTGAACCTTGACAGCTTCCCTGTGGGTATGCTTTATCATCCCAGTTTACAGATAAAGAAATTTAGCTCAGGAGATGTAAGTACACTTGTCTAAAGTCTCTGTCCATGTTCCATTACTGTAATTAAATATCTGAGACTGAGTACTTTATTAAGAAAGGAGGCTTATTTAGCTCACAGTTCTGTGGCCTCAAGGGCATGGCGGCGGCAGCAGCTTGGCTCTGAGGAAGACTTCAGAGTGGGTGGCATCACAATGGCAGGAACATGTGTGATGGGGAGAAAGCACATGGTGAGACAGGCAGCCAGAGCATAACCCAGGATAACAGCACTCTTTGGAGAAATAATCGGAATCTCACAAGAGCTGCATCAGTTCCTTCAAAGAAACCTCCAAACAGGTCCCATTCTTCAAGGTCCCACCACCTCTTAATACTGCCACACAGAGAACTGAGCTTCTGTTGCATGAATCTTTGGGGACACACTCAGACCATATCTGAACCATAGCAGCCTCGTTACTATGAAGATGTAACTCAGATCCAACCATACTCTTTCCATTGCCCCATATTCCTTTATTGGTGAGGAAACTCAGATGCTACACTTGAAGTTTTTAGGAACAAAACCCAATCTCCATTTTATAGAGGAAGAGATTGAAGCTAGAAAGTAGAATTGATTTGTTGATGGTCATGCAACTGTGCCATAAACCTTGCTAGGGAAACTTGGGTGCCTTAGCCCAAGTGCTTTACCCAAGTAATTTCTTATGAAGGTTTTCCTTCCTAAGCACTCATTTCAGTTTGTCATAAAAACCTCTGTCTGATCCATTACCTTGACATATACCCATATATCTAATCTTCTTAAGGTTAGATGCTGAGTGGTCATACACTAGACAGATTTCAAAATCATTCTTTAAGACCTAAGAGATCCAGGAAGACAATACTTCCCAAAACTAACCCAGGAAGACAACATAGGAACCAAGCAGTGCTCTGATCCAGGGGGATTTTGCATAGGAAAGACCCTTAGAGACATCTGTCTACCTTGTTCAATTCTCTCACTTGACAGATGAAACCTTTATAGGTAAGAATGGAGCTTTAACCTGCACAAATCCCATAGTCAATTAGTGACAGAGTCAAGATTGGACCACACAGTTTCTTCTACGATTTTTTCACAATCCTCCCTTTCTTCTCTGCCTTTAAGCTTGTTATCTTTAGGTAGGGGATTAGTGATTCACATGTCTGCTTACCTCACAACCAGCCCCTGCCTGCCAAATGGCTTTGCCTTTTGATTGCCTAGCCTTCCTGCCAACTGTCAATGTGATGATATGATGCCAGCTCTCTGGATCAAACAAAAAGGAGGAAGAAGACTTGGACTTGTCTGTTTCCTCCTGGTTTTAACTTGTACTCTCAATGCCTGTATTTCCTGTATACTGAAATTTAGGTCAAGTGGCTTAATCAGACTCATAGTCAATATTTTTGGCAAAAATATTTTACGGAAGATATTGTATGCTTTGGATCACATCACAACAAAAGACAGTGTTGCTATGTCCCATTATTAATTACGCTAACTTTAGTCACTTGATTATGGTGATGACTGTCAAATCCCTCTAATAAAATTACAGTGATATGGCTGCCCCTTTGCAATTAGTGTGCAATGTGAGCACCATGCAAATATCTTGATGCCAAATTACCTCTACCTAACAGTTTAAGCGACCATCAATGATCTTTGCTGGTATCAGTTATTATTTAGGGGCTGCAAATTCATATTTTTTCTAAATTTATCCTTTCTTCTACATTTACTAGTTAGCATTTTTATTTTTAAAAATCTCTCTCTCTCACACACACACACTTTCTCTCTCCACTTTATACTACCATGGACACATGATATTTTATTTGTTCAATATGTTATAGTCAATCTTGTAATTATTTTTATTCTTTTGGATGCTCAAACTGTCCCAAATCTGGCAAGTGTCATCACCTTCTAGTTGGCTGTTGTGTCTTATCCTCTTCAGTTTTGAGTAACTCTTTGGTTCCTACCATTCTACCATGTCCCAGGCCACTTTGTACTCAAAGGAGGCCTGATTTTTAATGGGAATGTTAGTGAAAAACCAAGATCTGCGTGCAAGTTGTTCCATTACCACTGGAGCTTCCATTCCTTCTCCGCCCTTTTCAATGCGCAGCCAGGAAGTTACAGTGGACCCTTGACTTATGAACTCAATTTATTCGTGAGGGCTGCTTGTAACTCTCGTTGGTCTGTGAAGCCTCAGGCTCCTCCACACAACCTTCACAGTCTCTCTCCTGTATCCAGGCAGATCTCAGTGTCCTGAGAGAGACACTGGCCCAGGACTTCTCAATTGACCCCACACAGGAAAGGATGTTGTAATGCTCCTTCCAGAACTCTTTAAGGGTTAAATCTGTATCTGAGACTTCTGAAGCACAAGTAGCTAGCATTTAGGTCATAATACAAGACTCTAATCATAAGTTAAAAACTAAAATTCTGGTGGTAACCCAAATTGTTCATATATCAGGCTGGTCGTAACTCAAGAGTCTGTTGTACCTGCATATACTATACGTGTGTATGTAAATTGTGAGCTCATACTGATGTTTTCAACTCAAATTTAACAATTATTTTTTCTTAATTTACTTTGTTTTGTATTTGCATCGATTTTCTCCTATATTGAAAATCTTAGCTCCCAGTAAACAATATTTTTTCTTATCTTACAACAGTTCTAAAAATACAAATCCTGGAGCCGGGGATTTAGCTCAGTGGTTTCGCTGCCTGCTGCGCAAGTGCAAGGACCCGAGTTCAATCCCCGGTACCAAAAAATAAATAAATAAAATAAAAGTACAAATCCAACATCATTAGGAATAACAAATCTACTGAGAGAAATTTGAGATTTCTTGGTAAGCAGTTTAGTTCTTAGAAGATATCCTTGCAAGGATGTCTGATGAGGGAATTGTGTCCAAAATTGACTTGCAAAAATTGCTACTACATGTGGTCGTATTATCATTTTTATCTTTTTCGTATTATCATTTTTAAATAAGTGAGGTTCATTTGCTTCTGTTTCTGACTTTTGTTCTATTTTTGGTTTGTTTTTGTTCGGTTTTTTTTTGAAAAGGTAAAATATTTACATGGTTCAGTTGTCCCAAATATACTTTTAAAAAATATAGTCAGAGAAGTTTTACTCCTAACACTTCCACACTGCTTCCTCTCACCATTTTTATTTATTTCTGCTTTAACCGTCTGGTTGTTTTATGTATAAAGAAAAGTGTGTGTGTGTGTGTGTGTGTGTGTGTGTGCATTTCTGTGTCTGTGTGTTGACTTATTTCCCTTTCTTTCTTACAAAAAAGTAGCATGCCATGTACACTACTTTTCACACTACCTTTTCCACTTAAATTCTAGAAATTTCTTCTCATCAGTACATAGAGATATTTCTCATTTTTAATGGTTGTGTAGTACTTCGGTGAGTCATTATATCATAGCTTTAAGAGCCGCTTATGGATGGATTTGGGGTCTATTTTCAGTCTTTCTAAGATCTAGGTTTTCAGATTCCAGATATTGCTGAATCCTCCTATTTCTATGGAATGGCATAATTTCTTTCCTCCTGGATTTTATCTTCTCCCTATGAATTTTATCCTCTATATCTCTCCATGGTAATCATGTTACTCCTCTGCTCCACAGACCAGGATGGCTTCCCATTTGAGAAACTGATGTAAATTGTGAGGTCTTTTGAACATAAAAATAGACATGCATGAGAACTTCTCCATGTTATTTAGGAGGTTTGTGGACCTCATTTGAAAATCTCCTCTCCCACAAACAAATTTCAGACTCTTTAATATGGCAGTTGTGAATCTTGGCCCTGACCTAAGTTCCCATCCTCCTCTGCTGTCTTTCATACTCCCAGTCACACACACACACCATACACTCTAGCCACTGTTCTCCTTGTCATTTTCCCAGCATAGCTATACTTTCCAGCTTTGGATCATGCTGTTCAGCTGACTGTTCCCTCTTTTATTCTAGCCAAACTGGATTTCTTGTTCTTCACCTGGGCCACGTTCATTCAACTGCTGGCTCCTGTTCTCTTTATTTAGAGTGTTTCTACCCTAGATCTTCAATGACTGACTGCTTTTCATCATTCAGTTCTCAGCTTATGTGTCAGCTCCCCAAGAGACCTTCTCCTTACCCTGTCCAAAGTGTCTGTCCCTCATTGCTCACCCTCACTAGTTTAACCTGCATCTTCTTAATTTTCTTTTTACCATTTATCAACCACTGAAATTTCTGGCTTGTTTGTTTTTTCATTATTTCCATCTTTCCAATAGTGTAGAAGTCCCTTAGACTTTCTCTCAATTGCATCATGTCCCCAGCACCTAGAACAGTGCCCAGTGCAGAATTGGTGCTACATAAATATTTGTTGAATGTACACGTTATCCCCCTGTACGCCACCAAAAGGTCTCTCTTCTGAATCCCCAGTGAGCTCCCCCAAAATGCTTCTCCTGTTCTGGAAGTGGGAACCTCCCTTATTTGTCTGTGTATTTTTAGTACCCAAGATAGTCTATTGAGCTAACTGTGCCTTTTTGCCCTAATATTGAAAAATGTTCACTGTGTGAAGGATGAGCCTTAAAAGGGCTCAAGAGGGCCAGAGGTTTAGTTCAGTGGTGCCAGCATCTGCCTGGCAAGCGCAAGGTCCTGAGTTCGGTCCCCAGTTCTGAAAAAAAAAAAAAAAAAAGGGCTCAAGAATGGGAAATGTAATTAAAAGTTCAAGGCAGAGAAATAAGGATATTGTCCATTTGAACAAAGATATTTTCAAAGTAAAAAATAGTATAAAGTACAAACTTAATGCAAATGTGGTGAAAATGTTATATTATTATTATTTGTGACTTTGGTAATTCATTTAATTTTCAAAATCAAATCAACTTAATGCAATAACTTTTACTTCATAGCTATCATTCTGGCTGATGCTATGCACTGCCACGTATAATCAGGTATTTAAAAATCATGCAAATTCATATTATAACATATTGAATTGCTCTGCCACTAACTGTGTGTCTTTGAGTGAGTTATTCAGTCTCTCTAGACTTCAGTGTCTGGTATAAATGAGAGTTTGGTAAAATGGATAACAGATATCTATTTAAGCACCCAGTGTCATGGTTGACCCAGAGTAAGACACTAATAAATGTTGGTTTCCTCTCTACCATATTCAACAGATTGGAAAACAAATATACATTCTTTCCTTGCACCCCACCTTTCAATTTTTTCAAATAAGTGCGGAGAAATTTGGTTTTAGCAGATCTTATCCCAAAGTGGCATCACATGTGTATATTGTTTTCTCCATCTACTCCTTACTTCTTTTAAGCTTTCCTTTTCTCTTCCCTCTTTATTAAATATTTACTGAGCATGTACTATGTGCCAGGTGCAGTGGACATGCAGTGATCAGGTAAAATAGGGTTCCTGCTTTCACAGAGTTGACAGGCCAGTGGGGAACAGTGTAACAAGAACTGTGACAAGAGAAGTACTTGGGGATACAAGAAGACGTGTCCAGGGACCCATCTGGTCAACAAGTCTGCCGAGAAAGATGTGGTCAATCCAAAGCCTGAATGATAGGTAGGAGTTAGCCAAGTACAGAGTGGCAGAGAGGCTTAAAGGTGAAAAAAGCACCATGGAGAAGGCTTCGATGTGGGAGAAAGTATATCCGGGAACTGAAAGAATCTCAGTATGGCAGGAGCAAGCATAGAAACCCTGCACTCATGAGTCTCACAAGATCAACAGGATCAGATCATGAAAACCTTGTAAACCATGCCATAGAGGAGACACTGCAAAATGCTAAGGAGTGATAGAACCAGGAGGCTGTGTATACTTATTTCTTGTTTCATTTTTTTCCTCTCCGGGCAGATATTTGGGTTAACTCATGCGTTCCAGAAATTATCACTACCTCTGATCCCCTATTAGACTTTGAAACTGAAACCTACACTACAGACTTTACTGTCAGCGACAGCACCTACTCAGCATCAGCCCCATACTCTACGACCCTTGTTCCTTCTACCACTCCTGCTCCGGCTGCCACTTCTTCTTCACGGAGGAAAAAACTGATCTGCATCACAGAAGTTTTTACGGAAACTAGCTCCATGCCTACAGAAACGGATTCATCTGTTGAAAGTGGAGCAGGGTTCAAGAATGAAGCTGCTGGGTTTGGAGGTAAATGCTTTCTGTTTCTATGTTATGTGCATGCATGCAAAATACTCAGTACAGGGCCAGGGATTTAGCTCAGTGGTTCCTCCGCCTGCCTTGAAAGGGCAAGGACCTGAGTTCGATCCCCAGTACCAAAAAAAAAAAATACTCAGTACATAGCACCCAGCGTGTTTCCAGGTTGTCCACTTGGCACCTGCCAGGTACAAATAAGAACTTAACACAAACTCAAATTTCATGAAGTCATAAAACTTGAGAGCTATAAAGAACCTTAATGATCAAGCTACAATATTGTGAGTATAAAAGAACTTCACATTGGAAAACTCTTACAAATAAATTATTGTTACTATATATACAAAGAACTATACCTTAAGTGCTTTATTCCAGGCCTCTGTCTCTCAGCAGACTTGATTAGATAGGGCCTCAAGGCCATAGGAAATGAACTCTACTTTTCACATTGCAACTCTGTAGACTAGAGAGAGCATGAGAGACAGGGCCAAAGATTCTATAAGCAAGAAGCAAAGAAGCTGCTGAGGGCCCAAGGTCACAAACGGTCAGAGAAAAGGCTTTTCTCCTGCACTATCTGTTGTCTCCACGGGTGTACAGATAAAATGCACGGACGCACAGCAGGTAGGTGAAGGACCAACAGACCCATCTGTTTCCCCAGGTGTCCCCACGGCTCTGCTAGTGCTCGCTCTGCTGTTCTTCGGTGCTGCAGCTGGTCTGGCAGTCTGCTACGTCAAAAGGTGGGATTACTGGCACATTGCTAGTCTCGTCATCTTTGGCACATCCCTGTCTTGTGTTTTTCTAGTGTTGTTGTTGGCATTTTGTGGGTCAAAATGGAGATGGCTCTCTTCCTATGCCGGACAATTTCTCCCTCATTTCACCTCTCCTCCCTACCACCTAATCTTTCCTACTATGTCAACATGAGTATGTCATCCAGGGTGTAGATATCTGTCAGTGGTGAGCCCTTTGAAAATAAAAGACTAAAACAGAAAATTTGACATGTAGAGAAAAGTTATGTGTTCCATTTGATTTTTGGTTCCGTGCTTTTAATGCAAGAGTTGTGAGGGAGGCCAGCCTAATGATAGGCCTGTGAACCTACTGTCTGATGTAAATGAATTGATTACAGTGAGGGTGTATATTTGAGCATGCACACGTTAGCATCACTCTGAAATGAAGGTACTCAGGCAACTGTGACAATATGTGCCATTGCAGACAAAGCATTATCTGCTGCAATGTGTGTTACATAGAAGTTTCTCCCTTTAATTTTATGGGATTTTTCTTGATGAATATGGATGTATTTATTTTAAAATGTGGTTTAATAATGTTATGTTTCTGTTTACAGGTATGTGAAGGCCTTCCCTTTTACAAACAAGAATCAGCAGAAGGAAATGATTGAAACCAAAGTAGTAAAGGAAGAGAAGGCAGAAGAAGGCAATCCTAATGAAGAATCAAAGAAAACTGACAAAAACCCAGAAGAGCCCAAGAGTCCACCCAAAACTACAGTACGATGCCTGGAAGCTGAAGTTTAGACAAGAAGTGAGGAGGAACACCAGACGCTGGTTTCTTTCCTGATCCACATTCGGCTCTAGATGGGGAAATAAAAAGAGCCAAAGAACCAAAGAAGAAAATTCATCATCAGTTCCTAACAGGGATCAGCTCAGGACAATGGAGTTCTCCAAAGGGAGCCTTCTTTTCCCTTTACTCCTTTCTGGATCCTATTCTCCTACCTCCAAACAGCCTTTCTCCCGCAGCCTTTCTAGCTTGGATGTGTCCTGATATTATCCCAGTGGGACAAAGGACCTTTCAAAGCTCAAGGACCAACAAGAGTTCATCAGCACACATCTGTAAATGGGTCTCCAGGCTGGCTGAGTCTAGGGGAGGAGGGTGCCAGAGTCACTGAGACCAGGCCGGACCCACAGCCCACAGTCTTTCTGAGCTCTGAAAAGGAGACACTTACATCACCTGGCATGTCCTTCTTAGCCAGGCACAAGTAAAAGAAGGAAAAAAACGTTTAGAAAAATGTCATGGCGCCGGGGATTTAGCTCAGTGGTTCCTCTGCCTGCCTCACAAGTACAAGGTCCTGAGTTCGATCCCCGGTACCAAAAAAGAAAGAAAAACGCCATGAAAATTCCCATGACTTGAGATATAATCTCTGCAAAACCACAATAAACAGAGCACTAGGAGGAGGCTGGGGAATCTAACACCACCATTGCCAACAGGGACTATAAACAGACAGGGGCCAGGTACTCTTCTCTGAGTCAGTTGAGGTGCAATCACTTTTCACAACATACACCAACTTTCTTTTCTTGCTGTTGCTGCTATTTTCTCTAGAATAGACTTCTATAAGAAAAAACAAAAATACCCTTAGAAATTTCTAGTTTTACCTGAGCTACAGAAGCTATTACTAAGGAAAAGTACTGTGTTTGAGTAAAAAGTATAAAATTCAACAGTTTGTCAAATATCTCCTACTAGTCCAGTATCCTTATTCTGAAATGTTTGGATCAGAAGTGTTTTCAGATTTGGGATCTTCTTTGATTTAGGAATAGTTGCATAATGAGATACCTTGGGAATGAGCTCTGAGTCTAAACATGAAATTCATTTATGTTTCATATACACCTTATAATATAGGTTGAAGAAAATTTTATACAATATTTTAAATTGTTTTATGATTGAAATGAAGTTTCTTGATATAGAATTTTCTACTTGGTAGTGTCGTATTGGTGCTCAAATTTTGGAGCATTTTGGATTTTGGATTTTTGGATTAAGGATGCTCAACCTGTGTATGTCAGGTGCTCTGAAAGATATTACACTGTGTAACTGAGTATTAGTCATCAAAACTTAAATGTAGCACAGTGCTATCTAAAGCTAAATTGTTCAGCTTTGATATTTCCAGCTTATTTACTTCCAAACTAATTTTTAAACTGAGACTAATCTATTCATTTTCTCTAATATGGCAACAATTTTAACTTTAATTTATTATTAACATACCTAAGCAGTACATTACCTGTACACATCAAAGCACATTTTTAAAATTCCATTAACAAATGTATCACTAGCTCTAATTTTTTCCAGCAAGAAGAGTCTGAGAGATGCAAAAATATTTGTGCCCCAAAAAATAAATAAATAAAACATTTAGATAATTTCTTTGTTTTCTTATTTACATTGATGCATTATACTTTTCATGCAAAATTAAAGACAGCATAAAATTGAAATCTTCAGTCTGTAAAAGTAAAGGGGAAAACTTTGGTTGTTAAAATTCAGACCTGTAACCCCAGTTGTATACATCACAATGAGAAACTGTCCTGACTTCAGCTGGTCTTCCTTTAAGTTTCTCAAGTACACATACATCATTCTTTTACTTGAGACTCAGGTCCTACCTCCCAATCCATTTCAGAGTTCACAAGATTCAAGATGACTCATCTGCCCAGGTTCTCTAGCTTTCACTCTCCCTCTCTCTACTCTCGCCCCACTCCCTACCTTTTTTGTACACAGCTAATTGGCTTCCTCCACATGGCCCATTTTGCCCAGAGGCCATAACCTGTGGAGTAGTCTTTTAAGGTTGACCTACAGTTAAATTCAGTATAACTGTCAACAACTGAAAATCAAGACATCTCATATATTTCTGTCTTTAGATTCTCTTGGAAAAATAGAAGCTCTGAAGATAGAGAATCCATATTCCTGAGAGCAACCACCACTTGAAGCCACATTAGTGGCTATCCCTGATAAGTGGAATATCCTCTCTCATGTCTCCACATTTCTTTTCACTCTATGGCCAAAGGAAAGGTGCCATCCCTGTGGTTCTCCTGCTACCTCTGCCTTTTTGCATCCCAGCCCATGTTACTCATTTATATTACCTGCCTAGCTCTGTAAGCTTATGAGTTTGAAACTCTGCTTTTCAATCTTTAATCATTATCAGCTTCATCCACTTCTCAGGGACTGAAGAAGAAAAAGCGGAAAAGAATTAAAGGATTGTTCTTTCCTTTGTGTGTATCAGCTGAAAAATAATCAGCAATCCCATGCATGTCCCATCCTATGGGCATCAACTCTATATTAGGATGCTACCATCTTCTGCTATTTTAGACAAGTATGTGCCCTATCCAGGAGGAGGAAGTGGGGGAGAAAAATTTACACACATCCACAAATGCAGTTGGCCCCCCACATCCTCAGGTCCCATGTTCACAGATCTAACCATATGAGGATCAAAAATATCCAGAGAAAAAATTGTGTCTGTACTGAACTTGTACAGCTTTATTTCTTGTCATTATTCCCTCAAAAATATGGTACAACTATTTACATAGCATTTACTATGCATTGGTATTATAATTAGTATAAAGATATTTTAATGTATATGGGAGGATATTCATAGGTTATGTACAAATACTATGTCATTATATATAAGGAATATGAGCATGTGTGGATTTTGTTATCCAAGGGAGGTTGTGGACTCAATCCCCCAAAGGCAAGAGACAACTGTAATCACTCAGTAGCCCAAATGCCAAGTGCAAATACACTGATGAAAATGTATCTTCCATCATTATACAAGGAAGGAAGGAAAGAAGAAAGAGGGCTGGGGATTTAGCACAGGAGTGCCAAGCCTGCCTCTCAAGCCAAGGTCCTGAGTTTGATCCTCAGTACAAAAAAGAGAGAGTGAGAGAGAGAGACAGAAAGAGAGAGGGAGAGAAGAAATTAACATTTACAGGACACAGTCCATACCACCACTCCCAGTGTAGAGGAGGAGGCTTCCAGGTCACCTTGCCACCACTTCCAGAACAGAGGAAAAGGCTTCTGGGCCACTGTAGCACCACTCCCAGCACAGAGGAGGAGGCTTCCAGGCCACCATAGCACCACTCTCAGGACAGGGGAGGTGAGCCGCGTGGGTGCCACCAACATACAGCCCTCCCCCTCGAAATGAGAAGACACACAAATGAGCCTCAAAACCAGACTACCAGATCACCTACAGCAACCCCAAAGGGAAACAAGATGGAACACTCTGATACTCAACCACCTGGACTCCCTGAACTGGCAACAAAAGAGGATCTGAAAGAAATGGAATCGGAAATAATTTCTCAGATAACAACAGAGATTGTGCCCATAGTGCAAGACATGATTAATAAATCTAGAGAGGACATAGATTTAAAAAAATAGAGGAGCTGAGGAACGTGATGGAATCCCAACGTAGGAAACAAATGGAATCCATAAAACAGATGCAAATAAATTGCCAGGAGATTAAAAACTCCACTGAAAGTCTATGCAGCAGAATGAGCCAATGCAAGGACAGAATTTCAGATATAGAAGATAAGATTGCAATTAGTGACCAAGAAAAGAAAAATTTCTTTAAAATTGTAAGGGACCATGAGAAATCAATCCAGCAGCTGCTAGAGGATGCAAAGAAGAATAACATAAGACTGATTGGAGTCAATAGAGAAAAAGGAGAGAGTGCAGATGACATAAAAAAACTGTTCACAGAAGTAATGGCAGAAAACTTCATAAACAAGGGAAAAGAACTTGACATACAGATAAGTGAGGCATATAGGACTCCAACTAGCCTTAATCAAAAAAAATCTACACTTAGGCATATAATTGTTAGGATTCCAGAAACCCTGAGGGAAAGGAAAAACTATGAGAAAAGAAAAAAAATGGAAATGAAATCTATGTAAATAGGGAAGGGTAGAGGGGGTGAAGGGTGCACAGGTAATGGGGAAAAAAAATAAGAACCAAGATATATCATGTACAGGTACAAACACCC